CCACCGTGTGCGTTTTGACCATCGTATATGGCAAGCTTCAAAAGCTCCCTTCAAACATCGGTATAAGAAAATCGTATATGGAAACAGTTCACAAGGTGTCATACTTCAACTATAAGGAGTGCTATGAAGTACAGACTGGAAAATATTTTTCGATGTTTTGAACGAAACTACTTATGATGTGGCATGTTGTCTCAAGTCTTGCCCAGATGTTTTCCGCGCTAGTGAAAAGACATTTCTATGTTTCGATCATCTATCCTCACCTCAAGTTAGGAAACCAAGAAGAGAAAAAGAAAGACTACATAAAGTAAGTAGTAACGCTGGCGCTCGTCAACTGAACGTTCTAATTAGGTTAAAAAGTTGACATCTGAGTCTACTATACAACCAGAAACTTTTATACAAAGGTTGTTCCAGTATGTGGAAAATGTTTATGACCTCACTGGTAGTAAATACCTTAGTAAAGAAGCATGTGTTTATACCAGTGTTCTAAATAAGCCGTCTGCACTCCAACCCAATCATCCCATCCCATCCTGAATGCCCATTTCCACTGAACAATACTGTTCAGAATTCTCCAAAAGAGATGTTCCCAAGTGTGTCGAATCCCTAAACCCTTCACATAGTTTCAGTCCGGATGGTGCATAAAGTTTCATGTTCACAAAATGTGCTGATATATTAGGCCATCCACTGACCAACATGTTTAATAGACAGTTTTCATAAAACACTATTCCAGCTGCCTGAAAAGGTTTTGAAATGGTTCTAGTAACTAAGTCTGCAACACCAGGTGCACAGTTAATAGGTTTTGTTTAATTGTTGTTGTTGTTCAGTTCTTGAAAATGACGGAGAAACTAATAATACCTATGCTTGGACCTTCACTGAAGGTTTTTGATCATCCTAATTAATTTGCATAAGAAAACAAAAGAAGCAATCTGGCTACCGCCACTGCTCTATGTCATAACATAGCTTTTAATCTTAATAGAAATGCTAATCATATCAGATGTGCCTTTCTAGGCTATACTTCAGCATTTGATCTTTCCCAAAAACCTCTTTTACTGGACAAGCTAGTAGGATCCTGGATAATCAGGTGGCTGTATTCTCGCTTCTAAAGTAAACAATATACTGTCAGCAGTGAAACACATACTACTAAATATAAAACTCTGCAGTACACTTATTTATTCCGTATCCTGTGTAGGGAAGAAAGCAATACATATGGACTACCTAATCAACACTTATTTTTTGAAGGTAAACTAATTAAAGAGTGAATAGCTTGCCGTCATTTAAGTAATATGAATCTAGTTGCAAATGTAACTATTCACCTAAGTTGACTCTGCATTTTCAAGGAAGTTGTAGACGGAATAAATATTTTTATCTTCTATATATAATTTCTATTTATTTCATTTTATTATGTATGTAGATACACCATTTCTGTCCAACCGGTGCTATGCAACACGCTGGGAATTTTATGAGATAGTCCCGGGATATCTTCAAGATAAAGCCGTTATTATCATTATTTGGGTATAGATAAGCGACATGTGTGTTCAACTTCTTAGCTAACATCAAGGTATCATCCGAGCGCACCTAGTGGAGAAACTCACTCAGTTGATGGCGAAGTTCAACGTTAACAACTGCGTTTGGGCTGCACTCAGTCAGAGATAACGTAGAGATATCGTCCTCGTTACCAAATTCTTTTTACTTGAATCGGACTTTCCAGCCTGCTGATGGGGATCCAGCTAACTGACGCCGGCTTCACCCTGCGGCTCAGTGCTACACTAACACTGCCATATCATGATGCCTGTGTTACAAGGTCTCAGATAATTCCATTGTGGATACACCTTTTGGGCTGATAGATGGGGGAGTTATTCTTAGTACTTCAAAGGAATCCGCTACATGAGTTTATAACAAGGCATACACCAACAGTAACGGTTTCCAGAGTCCTAGTCAAACCCGTCTGTTGTCAGGTTTGCATCGAGGTACAAACATTGAAATTGGTCATTATAATGGGAACAGATTCATTGTAACGCTTTTGAAACATCCACATTTTAATCTCGATTTCCGAACTGCCTTATAATCACCACGTAAGCTATTACAGTACTACTATTGTCTTTTATTATTTAATGTAAGTACATTCTTTGTGCTCGCCTGTTTGCTGTCTAACGTTTTTCTCTCCTTCTCTTTCCACAGTCCCATGCTGGGTCATTAGACTATCAATACCTAACTCATCGACACTCGTATGCGCATCCTCCTTGCTGTGACGTAACTGAAGGCTAGACGAAGATCCACCAACGACTAGTCGTTGCAGTGTGACTTATTGGACTGAAAGACAGCTTTCTGGAAGCAACCTATTCGGCGACAGAAATAACCTGGAATGTTATTCAGTGACCAGCAGCTAGTTAAAGCGAAAGAACATCAAAAAGAATAATTCGAGAACGGTGATGGAAAATCGGTTTGGTTTGGATGTGAATATAACGATAATATAAAGATGAATGAAGTGATTAGGCAGAAAGCTGGTTATACAGTGAAAGTTCCTTCCTTCACGGAAGCAGATATAATGAGTGGTTTCTAGTCTTTACTGGCAACTCATATATGGTGTGCAGGCGGGGACGCTACCCAGACGTCCAATCCGAAGTAGGAGTTCACTTCGTAAACTAGTGGATTGACTTCTGATACACAATGTAGTGGAGAAAAGTGAGTTGCTGCACTAGGAAGAAACAGCTATTCAGTGCTCGCAGGTTTGAAATGCTTCTTCAACCGATATCAGTCCATGATGAATACCGACCTAAAACCAATAAATAAATCTCCACAAACCTGCAAACCAAACGCAACACAGAAGTGGAAAATTTCATGAAAGATTGACAACGTAAGTTTAGCCCCGTTAATCTACTTTAAGTAAAAAGGCAATTAGTGACTGTGAAACGTTATTAATTTATAACACAGATTGTTACTTTCTAGTGGATTTGGAAAGCACCTAAGCTCTTTGTCACAACATTCAACGAAAGACTCTGAAGGCTACTCTAGTAACTACTGAAATTACCTGAGGTAACTTCATTTTGAAATTACCTTCCCAATCAAAAGAAAGAAACCTAATCGATTATTTTAATGGTTGCTAAGTTTAATTTTAGAGTTACTCACTGGCAGTCGATTTTCTGATTTATTCCAAGGGAAGGCTTCTTTCTTAAGTCTGTGATTCTGTCTTAAGTAAAAGCAGTTACGAAACTTATTGTGCACTGGGATTGAGGATCACTTGTAACTGAGGGGAGGTACCCCACAAATAAAAAAAACTGGCAACTTATGGACAAAGATAGTAAATCCAAAAACATATCATCACCTTAAATGATCTGTTTCCCCCTCCATCTTGGATACATTGCGAATTGTTTCGATATTTTGACCATGGCTGAGAATCACACCATCATCGATACCAGGCGTTACTGGATAACATTTCATATCATTACATCACGTAACTAAACAGTAAGATGAATAAAGAACCGGTCAAAAGTAGTAAAAGAGAAGGCTGAATAAGGTGTAACGATTAAGCGGAAGATGTGTGGATACATCTGCGCCACTGACAACATTTTTAAGCCATGTCATTTGGGCTCTCCAATCACTAGCCTCTGTTGTCACACTGATCCCAACCGGGATGTCTACGTTTCTCTACACGGCTCGGACCAGCAGCCAAAGACACCATCCAATCATGCCATGTTTCAGTCTAGCCACGTCTAGCATTTTCCCAGGTTGAACCTACTTCAGCTAACAATGTGAGATAGAGCAGTAAGTGACTAAAATAGGCAAAACATTTCCAAACCATCTGAGTCGATGAAGGTACACTACCCCATCAACTGGCATTCCTCTCTTCCTTAGAACTCTAAATTTGACTTTTACATTACCGAAGAAGATGCGGAAACTAGAATACTGAAATTACACATCTGTTGTTACTCCAGCGTTGTGTATTATAACTGTTAATAAAACTACCTAAACAACACAGGCATATATCTAAATGTGTTTTTGCCAACAAACAAACATTAGTTTCCTCAATAGAGAGCACAATAACTCAGGAACACGAGTGAATCTAAAGTCCACCCCAGCGATGACTAAAGTACCCAACCACATTCCTCTACTTCGGCTGGAAAGGTAGATTTTCAAAAATTATAGAAGTCTAATTGGTCGTTTCAGTTGTTGTTAGGGTGGCGTTTAGAGTCACCCAGGAACACAATAATTCAGCCAAGCTTACCAAGTGTAGATGCGTCAAACTTATATGCTAGAATACGCATGCAAATAAATATCCTATCCCTAGGATTTGAGGACCTATCCTTTTTACTTTACACAAACAAACTCAGTCGAAACACCGGTATACCAAGTCTGAATTGTTGCTAAAGTTTACTTTTACGTTTCGTTAAGTTGGTTAACCGAACCGACTGCTATGACTGAAAAGCCTGTTCAATTGAAATAAGCAAGTTGTAAAGAAAATAACTTGTCAATATATTCAATAAACGGTGCATTGATCATGATAAAACGTATCCTGACATTAATTACCAACACAACATAGTAACTACTATTTTGGTACTACTGGACCTTTTGACGTGTATTTCTAAAGTGATGAACTCTTCAGTTTATAAAACCCTGTTGCATAATGACTTGCAAGAGATTTCATTACATTTTCGTCACCCAGTCTCCTAAGAGGTTACAGACATGATTCATTACAAAATACCTATTTCATGCATATTTATTACGGAATACAAATATAGTAGAAGAAAATCTGATACATAAGAAACGTTTATACAAATGCATTCAGGAGAGAAAACATATAACAAAGTTAGTAATCCATAAATTAATAAAATGAGAAGTTGAATGCAGATTTGGAAAGTTTCATAGAAAAATGATAATGAGCTCAAAACATTATAAAGAGATAAAATTAATTATAAAGAGTACTTTCACAGCCACAACAAGAAAAGCAATATGATCGATTATTCAAAACGTTATAATTGACCAGATTCTTATGGTTTCAAAAGAATTTACAACTCTCTTTTGACATTTACGGTCTCAGTATTATGAGTTGTAACAATAGGAGGACTCACTGACGCAGTATTTAATATGACAGATTTAAAAGCATCTGAAAATTTCCATAAAAAATTTGATGATGAAGATGCACGAAAGGTTGAGTTGAATTCACCTGGATTGAACAAAGAAAACATACACACGAATATAAACATTGGTTACCAATTCGAAAGAACTACAATGAATTGGCTCATTGTGCAAATAGTTGCGGAATAGAATACAACCTGTTGGTCAATATAAACGTGGAACATTGCAATGCTGCATTACGGTTCAAGTTTTCATTCGTTAAATCAGCAAGCAAACGTAAGAAGCAGGAAGATGTGAGACCAAAAATGAGAAAAAAAATAAGATCAAGCGACAAAAGAAGAGAAAAAGATGGAGAGGTAATAAGAATAACGAAATGTGATAAAAAGACTAGGTTGGAGACAAAGTGTGGGTGTGTATTTGTGTCATTCGGATCAATTCTCAATCATACCACTCAGTCTCTAGTAACCGATCTCGGCTGTCAAGGCGAATTTTACACACAAACTGATAGTCAGAGACATTAGGCATCTGCGCTACATTTTACGGTAGACACAGATAACCTTGCATTAGACTAAACTTACTTCAGTTAACATTGTATGACGGGGTAAACGGTGAATAAGTATGCCTATAACAAGTGTCAACAGTTATTCGAGTTAATGAAAATTTCCGACCTCATTAACTGACTTATCTCTTGAGCCTAGGACTCTGAGTTACTAATTGTGATGGTACCACGACATACTGCTAACGTTACGAAAGTGATGGCAGTAGAACAGAAGCTCTATCAACCACTACATTTAATAATCATGTTTAATAGTAATTTTCTTTTAAAATATTGCCATGAGAGGATACAAAAATTTTTTGATGTAGTACTTTTGATTTCCTACTAGACCGAGTTTTTTGGGCCAGTTTCAGCTAGAAGGAAATGTTAGGATATTTCGACAATGTCCTTATTAAATGGTTTATTGTTAACTGTACTTGAAAACTGTTTAATTTGATTGATAAGTTTTTCAATAATTAGTTCAGATGTTAAGGAAGGTATGTTTTACTGATGTATAAAACCTCAATTTACTGACATAGCTACTGTCATATACATATCCTTTAACTAAATTACATGATAACAACGTGATAACACGAGTATTGAAATGTTTCATAAGCTCACAAGAGCTAATATCATATGAAAAGAAAGCGAAACACAAGAATAACATATGCATTTAAGAAAATACACCTGATCTCATTCATTTGAACTGGAGATGATATTTTGTTCACGATAGGTAAAATTATGAAAGATTAGTGATATGACCATCTGCTGAACATACAACACAGTAAGATGAGACTTACTTAGTTGATGAGTCACAAATGACTAAAGTACTACGAACAACCTTACTTAAAAATAACTGTTGATTAAGTTGAGAATAAATTACGTATCTATGAAATAGAAGGCAATTTTTTAATTGTCCATTTTGAATATATATAGTACATGACCACCTTGTCATTGCGCCTAAGTAAAGTAGTAAGTCTAATTACTGCTGACGGTATAGGTTATCTAAGCTACCTAACGTATTAACTACAAAAGGTATACTTGAAAATTCAACCTATTCGCACTCTTTGATATTAATGAATACCGACAAACAAAAAATATTTGATTTTGATATTTTCTGTGAGATTTTAAAGTGATACATATTTTCAGTTTTATTCATGACAAACGGTGGTATTGATCATTTCTTTTGTTAACTGAATGCTGCACTGATAAGAATGACAAAGATAACAAATATGCACATCACATTTTGGTTATTTGTCTACGGCTTCTTGAAATTATTACAGTTTAAATGTACGTTTCCAACTGAGTCAGCTTTGGACATTTTTGCTACATAGTTGATTATCCCAATCCTAAATTTTATCAGGTAATAGATAATAGCTGAATTCGAAAAATAATTTAGTGATCACTTACATGGGTGATCTTTAAAACAAGTTCCATCACTGTTAAACCTACGAATCTGTCCTTTAATCCTGCAGATAAGATTTCATCCCCTTAAATGGTGTGCTCACTTTTTCACATACTTTTGTATTTCTGTAGTCAGACGATAAAAATATCCGTTTGTAATAGTCTTCTTTGGTTTGTTTTTTTCATTGCTAGAGTTTAGGTACATATATTTTAAGGGTAGAGTACATTTAGAGCTGCATCAATTGCCAATAAAAGTCATAGGAGTAGCTTAATTCTGAATATTAGTTATGCATTGATTCCATGATTCAGTCTATCTTACAGTAAAGCAAAATATACAGGAGGCAAGTTCTTAGTTCAAACGCACAATCAGTGTCCAGAAGCATACATTCTTCAAGTCAGATGTAAACCAACATCTTTGAAGGTACATCGTTTTTTGACAAATTACTGGATTAAGTAAGGATAGCATGAATTTTCAGCAGGATCTACACGTTATCATGAACAAATAAGTCAAAATTTGAAATGAACTCCATACAACAGACGATTTTTATTCTTTGCACCTTTTAAAGTTCTGTAATTAACCAGTTGGAGCATCAGAGGTTATCGCAAGTAGTGGAGAAAATACGTTGATACACACGTCACGTGATTATCAGTGACTAGTAGGATGTTGATATCTTTCTCACTAGGCACATAGTCAGTTCAAATACGAAGGAGCATGTAACGTATACAATCTTAAAGTAATCTACTTCGATAACTGAGCACAATAAGTTAAGGATTTGCCCTTCATCCATTTTATAACTGACTGAGCAATTTAGCTTACTGAAGTTAACTTGGAAATTTAGTTATAATTTTGTTGAAAATGATCCAACTATATTCAATGTGCCAAAAATAGATTTCATACTTACTGCCAAGTTTAACAAGACCAGCTACACTTTGATTGACAAACCGACGACCTTGATCAGCAGCCATATTCCCCAATCTATAAAAATGAAAAATTGAAACGTTAACTAACACACAGTTTTCCTTCACAGTCTACATTATATGTATCTTGAAATACAAGCGACTGTTTATTGATCAAAATTTATCAGTGATACAGAAAGAAAAGAATATGATTAAAGACATCATAATGAGATAACGAGGCCTGTTTCTGAGAAGATATATTCACATCTATTAGTTAGCACGTCCCATAATTAAGATCAGTTTGTCTAGCAAGGAAATTGCTATGACAGGTAGTACGACCTAACAGCCTACGAGCGATACGAACCAAGCAGACTACGAACAATACGAACCTAACGCATAAACGAATCGACTCTAACGCAAATCACAACGTCAACCGCCACCACAGCAATGCCATAGACGCCCGAAGACAAGAGGAGAAGACAGACCGCTGACAGAGAGCTTATTAGTGTCTCAACAACAGTCAATACAGTTGACAGCGATGCTGAATATATACATTTCTAAGTGACACTGACAACACTAAATCCACTTATAGGTAAAAATAGTTAAGGACTAATGAGAGTTCGGCCTTGAGTGCAGAGGGAAGAAAAACTACTAACGTCATGAAAACAGCAATGTAGGCTATTTTAAGGTCATGGGCAAAAGGTATGCAAGGTACACAACCATCTAATTGTCATCTAGTAGAACAGTGAATCCCTGAGTTTTGACATCATTTAACTGATAGCTATTCGGTTTCATGATACAGGCTTTTAGTGTAAGTATGTGAATATTTGCGCCTGTTATTAATACTAACGTACATGCCTAATTCACAACCATGCTACGCAGTGTGTATATTTTCAAACATTCGAATGGGCTTTTAGAATGATATTGAACTGTTCTAGTTGAAAGACTGGATTTCAATCAGTTTACTTTCCCATAGCGTCAATTGGCATTCGCATCTTAGTCTCAGACATTTCAAACTGGATAATACTACGCTGATAAAATCTCATTTTCGAAAACCCTATTAAATATGTCTATTAATTAGCGATACTTTCTGGTTAAAATTCTTTTCAGATGATAGTTATAAAATGAACAAACTTTTTAAATCCATCAGCGAATTGGTTCCAGTCATCCGGTTCGGTAATTTTACGGCCTGGATGTTGTGAGACAACAGCAGCAACAGAATTTGGTGAAGTTGTACAAGAGTGTTGTAACTGTAAAGACTAGAATAAGAAAATAAAATGAATTAATGTATTAGCAGATCATAAATATGTAGATTAGTTTCATTTTCTCCCTAACAACAAATTTCCTTTCTTTACGCTAAACATATTACGTGTCCCCAGGTTTCATAAGCAATCAGTTGGATGCTAGAATTTGTTGAAACATAACTCCTATTAGTAATTATTAAACAATGAAAAAAGAATTTACCTTATCAAAAACCATAGTATGTAAGAATACAGAAAATAAATGTGCTGTGTTACGTATCAAGTAGTTGCTACATTTATATAAACAGGTTTGGCAGTGAGAGATGAGAAACTAAGCACATGACTATCAGGTATTGAAAACACAATAACTAGTTAGCGACGAAACAAGGCCTCAAAACGGCTACTGAACCTACCTAGATGACAGAAGTGTAAGATATTTTGTGAAGAAAACTAACAAGAAGAAAATAGCAGTGGTTCCGTATCAGTTTTTTCGTATATTGGATTTAATGTGGCAATAGTGGTACAAGCTGCATTAATGTGCTATCAAAACTCATACAAAATCAATCAATATTAAAAATCCTATTCGATATATTGGGTACACAATGTAGGTTAGAAGTGATGAGACAATGAGTCAGAAATACAAATCTTTAAATTTTTTTTCTGTCTGTGCAATGTCAAAAGAATGGAACAGTTGTGTATCACTGAAGCTGAGTAAGACGAAAGCCAAATAATGTAGAGATAGATTTTACCTGACTTCAATCTAAACTACAGTTATCAAACGAATATCCACATAAGGAATAGAATATTCATAACAACCTATACATGTTGTTTAGTATTCCCTTTATGGTAAAGGAGGATGCTGTCAACTGCTATTATGCACGGTCAAAGATAAAACGACAGTATGAATGACTAAGTGGAATGAAATATTATAATACAGAAATGAAAGTTGATAGTATCTTTATTAAATAAATAAGGAATTCTGATCTCTTTCATTTACAGAAACAGAGGTCGTTCCAAAAATTCCATGTGATGGCATGCATAAACTTAATTACATTCTTAGTGCAAAGGATCAGAAACTTTGAATATATCAGCTGCAACGTAATAATTCAGTGACTCAAGAAATTGGTTCATCAATTGAAAACGATTAGGTCTTTTCACGAGTTTCTACAAAACAATGAAAAGATGTAATTTGTTTGAATACTGCTAGGCATCTGTGCAACGCATTTCAAAAAATCTGACCAAATATTTTATTGTCATAGGCATTCATGTAGAAGATAGGAAGAGGTGAATAGGATGAGAAAATGAACAAAGAACATAGTCATCGAATTGTTGAAAATGTGTCGCAACAATTAATAACAAGATACAAACAAATTGTATCTTATCATGCATAAATTAGAATTCTGTAATAAAAATGATAAATTCAAAAAAACAAGAGATTATTGCTTCAGAGTACAGAAAATATGTTGATGTCAACGATATCAACATCAACCGCTAACTAGTGACAATTGATTCAGCTATGCAATTCAAATAACAAGGTTATTCGGTGCCCTGTTTTTACTCAAACTTATATAAAAATGCAAAATAATGAGTGAAACAGTGGAATCAATACCTTTGATGTGTCAAAATGTGAATGTATGAAGCAAAATTGAAAAAGCTTGCTAACTGTAGTATCATCAAAGATATTTTTAAGTATAAAAAATCCAATAGTTTAATGGAAAAACGAATGGCAACATGTACCTCTGTATCCTCAAATACTACCACTCTGCGTTCTTCATTATTTTCGCCGGCAGAAGGTTCATTCAAAACTTTTTTAATAACAGTATTCTGGGGTAATGGTTCTGGGACAGAAATGGAAAATAGTTGACCCGGAGAAAATTGATAACGCCAAAGCGAAAAGCTTCTTGTAGACCGAAGACAAGTTAAATAAGCAGGATGAAAGTCCGATGCACAGGAATCTAAAAATAAATGTTACACAACACTCCACTGAATTCGTTCTTAAAGCACTAAGATAAGCAGATTCATAATAAAATATGATAAAAACACTACACGACAGATATTCTCACAATAATATCACTATAAATTTGGGTTTTCACGTTTATTTTGTTGCAGATGAAAAATCTTGTATTCATACACAGATGCATTACGATTTCCCATGTTAATACATGGTCCCGATACCCAGTATAGACCAAAACAGTACAACAGGGTTCTCGAACATCAAATTGATATAAACCTTAATTAGCTCTTCAATTTCCGGAGGTAAGGCTTCGAGATTTATCATATAATGACAAGTCATATTATATTTTGTGTAACTTGTTGAGTGAATTTTGTGCTATGGGGCATTTTAACTGCATACTTGAGTTGTGTTAGAGAGAAACAGCACTATAAGTATATGGTATTAAGCAAGATATAAATGTATTTTAAAGCATATACTGAAAAGTAGTACTAATTAAAAAGATATTCGAAAGAAAATAATAACTTACTATAACCTTGTGCAGATAACAATAATGCTCTTAAGTAGATTAGGAATTGTTGTCTTATCCAAGCGTCTAAAACGGCTTGAGCTAAAGGGAGCAAATTTAAAATCAAGTAACGAAGGATATGATGATAGAATTTTCATGTAAGCACAAATAAGCAATTACTTTGATTCCTAAATGAAAACTAAGACATTTCTATATTTCAAAAATACAGGGTGAAATAAAACCCAAAAAGTAACATGTGAATTCGTTTATGAATAGATGGGTGATACGTCTGACTTATACAGTTAGCATTTTTATGACAAAATCTCAGGTGTAAAATTTAAAAGTTATTGAAGTCAGTACTAAAGACGAACTTTTATTTCCTTTCTCATTTTCAAACATGCCTACCTATCCAAAATTACCTTACAGCAGTTACATAGCGTAAATGAATAGGCATTATTGTCGCCACATTTCCGAACATCATTTATTATTGTTGACTAAGATCGACAAAAAGTACCAAACTACCTTATGTAATTGGCGTTTGATGTAAGCTAAACTTTCAAGGTTATCTACTGTATTGGATTTAACCTTACCAATCTTACAAAAGAAACTGTTTTTTGTATCCAGCTAAAGTTACAGAGCAAGTAAAATGAAATGTGTACAGCTAATGTTAATAAAGTTTATTTGTTCACTTTGACGATTTACAAAGCTTAGGTCGATAAACACAAACCATGCAAAAACGAAATTGGTGACTATCACATTCCATTTTCCTTTTTATTTATTTATTATGTTTATGTAATAAATGCTGGCAAATGACCATTTAAAGCAATCATGTTTCGATATTAGTCATCAGTATACAAACTAGTGATTACGTAACAGCCTTTCGAAATAATTTACACAAGCTAACATAGTTTTTCTATTTTCCAATTGCTATCCTCATATCCTTGGTCAGTTAACACTCATATTTATCTGCTGAATCCATTTCAGTTCAACAACTGATGATTTCTTAGATAACTGAGAGTATTTTCACATTTAATTTTCAACACAATCCATGAGACTTCTCTGTTCTTTTGACCTGTTCATTCTTGAATTGCTCACTTAATATTCAGTATTTCAAGTATAGAAATTGGACAAGCGTAAGGCAGAATTAATCTCATTCTATTCCCTATTGATTTGAACTTATGATTGTTTGTAAATATTCATTCAGTCACAATCAGTATACAGAGGTCAAACAATTGAGACTTCATATTACTCTGCTGACTTTCAACGTTAGTATGACTGATCAAATCTGCTGAAGAGTACTGTGAGTAGTTTGCAACTTGTTTTGCTGAGGAGAAAACTTGGTAAATATATAAATCAAGACTATTTTATTGTACAACGAGACTTTCACGTGTAGCTTATTTACGCGATACACAATGTCAGAAGCCTAATAGGATTTTGTTCCTTTCCAGTGGGAAAAGGTTTTCCATTTCTATTATTTTAAGCACAGGTTTGGTGAATTTTAACCATAAACGAGAGATATCATTTCTGATTGCTTGATAAATTCCTGTCTTTAAGTATGGCATTACCAACTAACATTATGGGGACTGGGGGTACACGAGAAAAGTAGGATGAAACAGCTTACGTACAATACGTAGCTAAAGAGTCCTAAACGATATGTAATGTATCGCCGAAATTACACTGCCAACCACCAAATAAGATAAAATATACAATTTGTTGAACAGTGACAACATGAGATTAAACGGTAATTTTAATAACACTAAAAATGAACGATAAAACAGGGAACAAATGATAGCGACAAATGTAACTAATATTGCTGCGGATACATACAGAACCAAAAAAGTAATGATACAACTGGTGAGAAAAGCAGTGACGAATCTAATATCGGAACAGTAGCAGAAATAACACCTCAACATCAAAATACTCTGAGATTGTACTGCAATATCCCTAAAAGCCTCGATGGAGATTTGTAAACTACTGATTACGAAGCAATGACTTTTTCCATACTGTGTATATTTGAAATTCAAAGCAAACGGCAGTAGTGGAAATGTACAACAACATAGTCTGATGTTAGAATGAAATATTTGCCAAAGAACTCACACTCACAGTAAAAGTAGTTGTACGAATGAAAAATCAAAATGCAGCTTTGATAAATAAAGTGCTCAAAGGTGAATACTTACATGGAAATCTGAGTAAGAATGTCCTTTGGATTGGTAAGAGCTGTAGTAAAATGTCCTCATCAAAATGATTTGATGAAGTCGATCCATGCAAACTGTCACAAGTTATTAATTCACCTTTTCTGTGAGAAAACCGTTGACAATAGTCTATCTGTGCACTGAACCACATATTGACCGTTGATATCAAATGATCAATAAATAATCTGTCTACACGACTTAACTGAACAGCTCGATTTAACGGGGCAGGCATAGAACGCGGGTTTGTTGGATGCTTATTAGCACTGTTCTCTGAATTAATTTGGATGACTGGTTGTGACTTTTTTGGCTTGAATAAAAACAAAATTACAAGAAAACAAATGAATGGCATTGTTCGTAAATGAGATTTACTACCTTATTTTTGAACCAGTACGTTAATACCTAGGGGACTTACCCGCCATATAATCAACAGTTCTAGAGAAAATCCACTCTCAGAAAGACTAAAAAAATCAATGTTGAGCCTCGCACACAAGTGCATCGGTTCCAGTTGACATACTTCCCAATTGTACACAAAGAACACATAGATAGAAAAAGAGTGATATCAAAGTACGCAAAGTTTTGCGAAAGAATGAACGATTTGAAGGTAAGGGTTAGCGCGAATATTCAGGCTTTAGATGGTGTCAGAGTGAATATATCTGCATCACAGAGAACGATTTTTAGCCATGTCACAAAGAGTCCTTAACCACTGATTCATGTCGTCTATAGGACCCCGGTAAGGTCATCTATATATCAACGCACGGCTACGGCCAACAGTCAGAGACGTCATCGACTAGTGCCAGGTCTTGGTCTGGTCACGATAAATCTTCTTCCAACGTAATCAATCCAGTACATGTCAAAGTCACCTCGTTCGATGGAGGTTCACAACCTCACCAAACAAATTGCTTGTCTTGCCTAGTACCCTTCGCCTGACCTTAATATGCGGTGACTACACCAAACGCGAACAATGTTGCAAAGACAGCTGTGGTCAAAACACTGTAACTGCTTCATGTCTTATACTTTCAATGGCCATGTCTCACAGGTATATAACAGAAGAGAATCCCCTGCGGCGCAGTATACTCGCCCTTTGATTGGTAGCCGGATATCTCGCCGATGGCCCCACAGATGACTCAGGTTGGCCAATGTCAAACGGGTATTCTGCATCAGATATGGCATTTTGTCAGGAACCAGCCTATTTGAGTTGATGTAACTCCCTAAGTAAGTGAAGTGGTCGACTCATTCAACTACTTCACTCCGTAGCGTTAAACTGAGAGTACTTGCAGCAGACAAGTTCTGGAACATAATCTTGTATCTGACAGGTGAGAAACGCATGCCAAACATGCATTTCTGTTCAACACGTTCACAAGACCCTGCATGTTTTCAGCGTCTTTACCTAGCAGGACAATATTGTCTGCCTACTACAAGTCAATTAGAGGGAAGATCAATGCTTGTGGAGTCTAACGTGCCTAAGGTTATGTCCACTAGTAGGTCTATAAGGAAGTTAAACAGGAACGGTAACAAAAAGCATTATACTCTCATCAATGACAGTGCTTAATATTGTAGGACAATGATTAGAGCGCTTGTTGTTCGAACATACTAGGAAGGCATACAAGATAGAGAAAAGACCATGAGTAGAAACTTTCGATGTCTGAAAGCTAGCATTCTAGGGACGATCTAGCGGCAGAGACAAAATGGTTAAGTGAAACGACCTTTTCTTTCATTCCTCTAACACCTAACGTCCAGTGACTATTTAAAGCTGCCCTCCTGGAAAAAAAGCGTCGGTCCCAGAAGTCTTCAAGCAGATCCAAATACTGAATAAATTCATAAACATGCAATAATTTTACTATTCATCAAACTTTTTCAGGTGCCTCAAGAAGAACAAGCCTTTTACGGTGTGGGCAGCTGAGAATAAAGGGAGACATTGCGACGTGACGTTCATCAAGTTCAACTTAGCGATGAACACAGACAGATTATACTAGTATCAACTATCGCCGAAGACTGTCAGTAGAGGATTACCAATCCTTCTGAAGAATATGTTTGAACAGTCATCATGCGTATTTGTGCACTAAAATTGTGGCGGAAGAACTACAACAAAAAGACTATTCCGAGCGCAGCTCCGCCATGAGAATGCTAAGGCTGTTTTCAGCGAGAAACTGGCCAGATAGTTATCAATATCAGCACGAAACGGAATCATTCATCCAGAAGACTGATGACATCTCCAGTTTACTGTAGAAACAGTGTTGAAGACTAGCTTAATCTCAGAAAGTGGTTAGAGGTCAATGGATCTTAGCAGCTTCTTCTGAATTAATGGATGCAAACGAATGCATTCCTACAGGCACCGAGCACAACAAGGAGGCGAAGCTACTCAAATGTAGACTGACAAAGACGCCATGCAATGCAGAGATGAGGAAGGCATCAGCAATAGGCAACAGTAGACAGTTATTTAGAATTATAAAAACATGCAGTAGAAAGGTGAGTGGTCATTAATACTACTATGGAGAAGAATGGGTTTGAGATTTACTCACAGAGAAGGCGGTTATAAAGATGGGTAAAGCACTTCGAGGAAGAGTTAAACTGGGCTCCAGCTATTATTTCTTTGCCTGTTATCCAGTCGGATCCTGAGTAAATAATTTGGATAGGGCCTTCAACTCTTCCAAAGTTAAAAAGGCTGTAATTAGACTGGAATGAGGGACTGCAGTTTGGCTATAAGGGTTAGTACAAAAGATACTTACGGATAGAGGTCGCGAATTATTGGTTAGGTTAACTGAAATGTTGGCTGGAGTATGGGGGTTAGATATGATCCCTTCTGACCAGTTTCAATCCCTGATTGTCCACCTCCATAAGAAAGGGGAAAAGTCCTCCTATGATAACTGCAGTGGAATCAATCAGGTGAACGTAGTGTCTAAGATCCCAGTTTCTACGCATATCAGACGTCTGAGTGAAGTTCGAGAACAACATCGATCAGATATTTGTACCGCCAGCTTCTTGAGCACAGGGGCAGGTTACTACAACAACCAACATGAGCTGTATTTCTCAACCTGAAGTCAGCATTAAACTTAGTCAACAAACAGGTCTAAGGACAGTGTTTCTCACTCAAAGGGGAAAACAGTAAGCAAATCATCCTGTTGAAGGAGCTGTACTAAAACGCCAGCAGGCATGTTGGAGCCTAAGGTGGTTTGTCAGGTCAGTTGTATACATCGAGAAGTGTGTGTTGAGGGTGTCCACTTTCCCCATTTTTAACTATTTTGTAGAGGTAGATAAGAAGGTCTTCCTTTCTTTGTTTTACTCTACATGGACTGATCATGTATCAGGAAAATCCTTGGTACCTCTGAAGTACGTAGACGACACAGTCCTGTTAGGTGAAGATGCTAACAGGATGCAGAGTTTCCTGGACAGCTTGATTGGAAGTTTGAGAATGTTTGGGATGCGTTCATCGCCGCTCAAAAGCAATTTATTGCTCCACGACTGACCTTCTCTGGTGTGTTGTTTAACAATAAGGATAGAAGAGGTTGAGCGAGTTGACCACCTAACTTACCTAAGAAGCCTGACCAACCCTGGTGGTTCGGTGACCTACGAAATCTCTGCACATATACAAATGACTTTCACCGGTGCCAATCTGAGGCACCACCGTGATATCCAGCCGACTAATTGGGGTCGAGTGTTTTGCGCTGCAGTTAGTTTTGTTCTACCATACGATTGTGAAACATGATCATTAAAGGTAAGGGATATGAGAAAGCTTCACATTCTTATTCACCATTACCCTTGTTACATAAGCAACATGTTGTGGTGTCACTACGTCAGAAATTTAAAAGTCAAGTGTAGAGTTTCAGGAAAGAGAGGGAAGTTAGTTGATGATGAGGGTGTGAACCTTCATCGATTCATTTGGCTGGGACATGTGTTATGCATGCCTAGTTGCTATCTGCCTCGCCACACAATGTTAGTTGAAGTAAGTTCAGGTTGGAAAAGGGTTAGAGGCGGCAAGACTAAAATGTGCCATAGGTCCTTGAAGACCTTGACTCTTAGTCTGAGTCATGTGGGGAAATGTAGACTTCTCGATTTTGGGTCAGCGTGACAACAGAAAACCAGTGATTGCAAGCTCTAGGTGACGTCGTTCAGAATCGATGTCAGTGGCGTAGATGTATTCAAACATTATCATCTTAATCATCAAAATGAATTCAGTGTTATTTCATTCTTTCTTGCCCTCTTGTGATACCTTCCTTCCACTTTTGACTGCTTTTTTCTTTCGATATTAGATTTGTGTATTTAATATAGCACATAGTGATACAGTATTATTTACTTACTATTGTTATTATTATTCAGTAAATAACACTGTATCACTATGTGCTATATTAACTAAAGAGTCTAATATCAAATTACATTCTATCACAGTGACAAAGTTTTCCACTCATATGAATGGTTCCTTCTTTATTTTTTTCTTTCATCATAGTGCATTCTCAACTTGGAGGTTTGTGGAGATTTATTGACTAATTTTAGGTTAGTATTCACCATGGACTGACATCAGTTTGAGAGAAACTGGAAACCTAGGAGCACTAGACAGCTGTTTCATCCTAGTATGGGACTACTAGGCGGTGCGCACCCAAGACCCCGCTAGGAATCGAACCGAGGACCTTCAGATTCCGCAACCAGCGTTATATGATGAAGCGACAAAAGTAGGAAACATGGACCATCAGCTCATTGTCGCTTGATGTGCTAAAATGAGGTGTGGCAAACTGGACCCTTACGCAGTAATGCCTGGTCATATATTGATTTTGTCTGTCTGTTTGTTTGTCTTGTCACTGCCCATTCGTGTACACATAGTGAAAAGGACAGAACCTTTCAGAATAACTACCGATCAATATTCAAAATATACTGGACACGAAAAGGAAAGCCAGTTAATATGTATCGGGATTTAAAATAGGAAAATAAACAAAGGATGAAGAAATGAAATATTGTTCCACCATAAGGTAATTATCTAGAGTGATGAATCATTCACGATTACCATGGCGAAGAAAGAGGGTGTACATATTTTTTGTACATGCAATGATGGTTTGAACTTTTATATTCTCAATACTTCAGCTATGTTCAGTTGTCTCTTTACTACTTTTTTCGGAGGGCTCAGTCACACTTCATAGAGAATTTCAAAGGATTTTTCAAAAGTTTACTCAGTGTTCTTTTACAGAACTGAAATGCATTTCCATTTTTACTTTGTCAGCCAGACCAGATAGCGAATACAAGCATTTTTCACAAACTAACATGATACAGCTGATGTACATAGCTCTATAGAAGCAAGTAAACTGATAAACATGCATTGATGTGACCCAATGCTCCAGTTCGTCTTTGGCGTACTGGCGAATAGAATCCTGACGGGAAAATGAGATTCTGAGACTGGTAGTAAAAATTCTCCATTTAAGGATCTTGATAGTCTCTTCCTGAGAATGTTTACCATATTGTCGCCTTTGAATTCAAGGTTCCACAGAAAAATCCTTTCAGGAGAAACGTTCATACGCTCAGTGACTTCAGCGGTACCGTGGTTAACAATAGAGAGTGAAGTGGTTGAGTGTGTTGACCACTTCACTTACCTGGGAAGTAGGATCAACCCCGGTGGGTTAGTTGCCGATGAGATTTCTGCACGGATACAAAAGGCTCGATTGGCTTTTGCCAATTTGCGCCACCTATGGCGCCGCCGTGATATTCGTTTGTCTATTAAGGGTCGCGTGTACTGCACAGCAGTCCGCTCTATTCTACTGTATGGCTGCGAAACATGGCCATTCAAAGTGGAAGACATGAGAAGGTTACAGGTATTTGACCACCGTTGCCTTCGTAGTATAGGACGTATTCCATGGTGTCACCATGTGAGTAATGCAGAAGTTAGGTGTAGAGTTTTGGGGAGAAGAGGTAAATCAGTCGACGAGGTTGTGAACCTTAATCGACTGAGATGGTTGGGACACGTACTACATATGCCTAGTCACCGATTGCCTAGTCACACAACGTTGGCTGAGGTGGGTCCAGGCTGGAAAAAGGCCCGAGGTGGCCAGACTAAAACATGGCACCAATGTATGAAGTCTCTGACTGTTGGTTTAAGCCATGTAGGACGATGCAGACTAGGTGGTTGGGGTCGGTGGGACAAGAGGAACCAGTGGTTGGAGACCCTAGGTGATATGGCTGAGAACCGAAGTCAGTGGCGCAGATGTATACACACATTATCCTCATCTTAACAGCGCTATACCGAATCTCACTATTTTGTCACTCCTCTTTCCTTTCTTCTCGTACTTTATATTTCTTTTGACTGCATTCACTTATCTTCATCCTTCGCCTCACTACCTTTTTACTTGATGTGCTGATATGAGGTGTGGCAACTCGGACCGTTACGCAGTAATGCCTGGTCCTATGTTGATAATGATGATGATGATCAATGACTTCAATTGGCTTGAAATTCTAATCAATAAACCGGTAGGTGTCCATTTTCCGCTTTCCTTAGCTCATTCATCGATAGTAATAATGAAGTAATTTTTAGTCAATAATAATAATAATAATATATTTGCTTTATTCTGAACCATAGTTTTGTATACAGCATAGAATTCTAAGCATGTGATATCAGACCAGTTTACTCGTTGTACAACACTTTTTAAACACATATTAATGAAATCAAATCTTTCATTTCGGAAACGTATATGCACATAGTGAAGTCGAGGGTTAGAGAAGATTGATTTCAACAATAGTGATAGTTTCAAAATATTTACTGTTCTTAGAATACACTGAAGTAGCAGTTCAATGAGCCTTGATTTCCAACATCTACTAAGGCGACACTGATATGTGAAGAAAATGACCGAGTTAAAATCAGATATAAACACAAAACTAGACCTAAGATCACTTAGTTGTTTCATGCATCCTGGTCAAAGTGAGTAAACGTAGGTCGCTTTTCATTAGTTGTTCACAAAAACCTTAAAGTGGTTCCAATTCTTATCAGAATCTGCAAACAGGGTTAACTTCATACCCAGAAAAGTTGTGCACAATTGATAAGCAACTGTACGAAAATACTTTGCTGCCTCTAAAATTTTCACATTTTAATATCTGGCTGATTGACTACTAAACATTGAGTTTCAGGTCAACTTAAGCAAAAAAACACAAATTTATCAGTTGTGGTTTACTTACCGGCAAAAAAGGTTGAGAGACATTTGTAGGAATCCTGTGGGTCAAGTTTTTTACATTTCCCTCACCATCAATAAAACTGGAACTAAGACTTTTCGTTGTATTTTCAGACACAGCGGTGATTAACTGTGTATCACTTTCCATCCCAGAAACTGAAGACATGTCAAATGCAGACGTCAATTCAGATAGATGTGGAAAATAAACCTCAGGAATACCTTCAACGGGTGATAAGGATGATACGAAAACCTCAGTCAAATGTTTATTTGATCGTAATAAAGGATTGGTTGCGCCAGCTACAAAACCTCGAACTGATCGATCAGTGAAGGCCCTGTTTTGATCTATAGATGAAGTTACACTTGAATTGAATGATGATATAAAGCTGGCAGGTTCCAAAAGGGTATCCAATAAACCAAGGGGGATATATATCGGTGCCAAATATGACTGAAAAAAAATGTTATTAAGACACGTACTGTAAGTTATAGACGAAAAATAGGCATAAATAATTCTCACTATACCACGCGAATGTGGACCAGTTAGGCTCATTCTGTGATAATTCCTTGACCAGGATAATATTGATACTCACTAACACATTATCTGGGATTTTAAGAGTATCACTGCTGTCTCAGCAACTCAAGCCACCATCAATCAGTGCTGAAATCAGATATGTTACCACTAATGGCGAATGAAACTTGTGATGAAGGATAAAGTGTATTGATTCCCTGCATATTAAACGATTTCACGCTATCGATTCTAAAATGCTGAACATATTCAGCGTTAAGTTCACTGACTGAACGAAACCTTTCCTACTATTGTATGCAAACTTTATTAATCAGCGAGAACAAAGATGGAACTATAGTAATGATGAAAAGTGGCTAGCGGTGGAATCCAGGATGCGCATTTCGTCCTATTTGGATGTACCTGCATCCCAGAGAGTCATGTTGCTCCCACCAGGATTCGGACGCGGGACCGATGGCGTCAAACGCCACAGCGTTATCCACTAAACCACCAAGTCACGATAGCCACTTCTTGTGCGACGGGTATAGTTTTTAGTATTAATGCTTGTATTATATCGAACTGATCAGTCTCTATTGGCATATGGGGTCTTGTGTGGATGCCTCGATATTACTCGTGTTTTAATTATAGTAACGATGGATATAGAGGCATCCGTGCACGAGCCCACATCCTAATAGAGACTGATCGATTTGGTATAATACACGCATTAATACTAAAGATGGAACTAGTTTCAAGACTTTTTGTCCAATGCTCCTAACGATCACACATAAAACAGAGAACAACACGAAGCCAAGCTTTTGGCGTAGTCACGACATTACAAACTTGCATGACAAAATTCAAGCATTACGGATCCACAGATGGTATGTGGTAGATTACTATTAAGTGATGGATTAGTATTCTGTGCATATCAAGCTCGACAGATTACATTTAACAGCGAAAGCAGAAGACGAGTCGTCAATGATAGCGCAGCACCCAGTATATTACATAAACAAAGGATTGTCAACAGAAACGAACACAGTATATGCATAACCAGACAGGTTGAAGTACACAAGTGTAAGCAGGTTCTGATGCGAAAGCTTAAATTTACTGAAATCTGAACATGTAGGCAGTCTCTGAAAGCCCAAAGATACAACCACTTTTCAGTAGGGTAGTGAACGTAAAAGGAAATCCATATCTTTTGAAGACATGCTTCTTTTCAAACGAAACCTGCTTTGCATTTAGTTATTGAGTGAGAAAGGTGAGTTACATTATTTAAGGCGTCTTCATCCTGTGATATGAAATGAAGGTTTTTCTAAATTTATTGGGGTATTTTGATTCAGTACTTTCATAAAGAAAAAGAAACTTTTCATAGATAATTTACGCGTATGTGGGATAGGAAACAACTTATGTTTACACCTGATACAAAAAAATCGCCAACCATGCATACATTTAAGAGGCTGATTGAATGAGTACGATGTTCTCCACAGCAGGTAGAAAATTCAACAATAAATTACTGCCTATCGATCTCTTTATACCAGCGGTTAGGGTTGAAGCCCACAGAAAATGCAAGCATGAATTTGGATAATGATATTTAGAGTTTGGCATTTCAAACTCAATATGTAGGTAACGGCTGAAGCTACACTCTACAGGTTAATTTTGGCATTTGATGGATATCCTCACTTTGCACAAAATGGATACAGTTCAAATTTTGGAATAAGAAACTGTAGGTGGTTATTTATTTGTGATAATATCTGAATGATTTTCGCCCACTAGTAAACCCCAGTATGTGCATTTTTTTTCATGAAAACATAACAAGTACTAAAGTGTAGTACAGAAGGTTGTTCAGTTGACACTGAAAATAATAAATGACGTCCTAATAAAACTTCAACAGTTACGTTATTGCTGCATTAGCAAAGGATCCAATTGATTCTAGGAGCATTGGACTCTCCAGCAACCGTTACTAACAATACATGTCATGCTCACTGAATAATGTTATACAGAATTTCTTATTTATCAATGGTTTTGGTGTAGTTGGGTTGCCTGAACCAGAAATTTCAGTCGTGAAGCTTCTAGTGTATTTCCAGATAAGATCATCAGTCAGAAATGCAGGGATTGGGGGTAGGGTAACAAAAATTTTCTCAAAATTGCTTAGTAATTTATCTTGATAATCTAGGATATGATTAGTTGATTTCCTTAGTTGTTGATAAGATACATGTTTTGATTCTGTTTTTTGACTTGTTAGTTGTAGCTATTTGTTGTTTTCCTAACTAGGTGATGAACTAAGTCTCTATGTACACACGTATCGGTTGCTGCTTCGTCTGAGCGAAAGGCTTCTAGAAATTCCGAAAGGCTAGACATATTACATTAGTTGAACTGGTAGTTTGATCAAAAGTACACAAGTCACCAATAGGAAAAGCTGCTAACTGTTCGTTTAGACGGCTGACTAACTAGTGGTTATATACGTTTAATCAAATGTAATGAGTCTTAGTGGCACGCAAGGATCCACTATCACCTGAACGACTTGCCTTTTCATACATCTTACCTCCTCTAAGTTTAAGTTGTTTCAGTTTTCGTGTTCTTTATGCATACTGTTTTAAATTGCAGCCAATTAGATCGATGCACTACTAAGCCACGTTTTACGTCATCAGGTAAAAAAAAAGGTAACCGAAATACAGTATGCTCATTGTAGTCTGTTCTTTACTAAATGATACTTATGAAAGGAATCAATCAGATGAAAACGAAAAACATCATGAGATCATGTTTTTTCAAGCATCAAAAAACAGCTCTAGTCACATGACATGAAAAACAATACAATTGTAGAGGTAAAATATAAATAATTAATTATCCTTTTGACTATCAGAGATAGCCGTGGTTTGGGAGACTAGTAATGATATTGGGTGGTGATTGAAATTAATTGTAAATTGTTCAGACATTAAATTTAGCCTCATAGCGACATAAAAGTAAAAAGTGAATCTCAGCAAAACTTACTTTTGTGAATAACGATAGTGGGAATCCCCAATCATCAGTTGGAAAAGGTGAGTATAATGAAAACTCAGAAAGTGGACTGTTTGTAATTTTCTCCGATAAGCTAATGGTTTGAGGATTTATCAACGACTGATTTAAACCTATATGTAAAGTATCAGATGAAGACATCAAATGAACTTTATCTGAGTTACCTGTCATCGAGGTAGTTGAATCCTTCTGTGACAATGAATCTCCGGCTAAAATAAATGGAGAATAAATCAGTGAAGAATAAATTTCAGTAATTTCAGTTACCAGACTAAATTTCGATGAGTCATCAGTCAACGTATTTTTGTTTTCTTTTTTCGTACTAAATATTAACGGGGGCAATACTCATAAGCGATAAGGAGCTTGGAATTTTATCAAGTAAAAAGTAGAGTAGACTGCCTACTTTCTTCTTTACGATAATGTAGTGGGCCACATTGTATGGTAGTAAGACTTTAGAAAGAGCAACGATAGGAGCATGACAGCATGGTACCATTTTGGTTTACCAGGTTCTCATCACCTGCTTACAACCTGTGACAATAAGTTAGAGAAAATAATAGGGAGCGAGACGCCTGTTTTTATTGAACCTAACCTCAAACGTGAATTAATAGAAGACTGATGGCTGCACTGAACAGAACATGTCCTGCAGCCAAGTTAATATTTCTTTATAAAACAACATACTCTTTGGTACAAGATAAAAGTCAACAAGTTCCCTTCCCATATTACCTCTGATTGTGTATACGACTTGCAGTAGCAGTAACACTGAGAGAACAGAGAGGAAGGCATACCTCAGATTCTTTGAACACTAACCAAAAAGCCTACATCTCAAGGGAACAAGTGCTTTCAGTAGAGCAGTCACTCAGCATCTTATCGATACATGACATGAAATAAATACTTTAGAATCCTTCAAAGTAATCCGCAAACAACGTAATTTAGACCTTCTCAAGTTTGCTGAGGCCATAGCGATCAAAGGACTAAAACCGGAAATGTATGTCCGAAAAGAAGCAGTGACAAGTATTTATTCGCCCTTGTAACCTAATATCTTACTCTTCCTATTATTTAATGACTACATATTTTGACTGGATCTTTTTTCTGTTTGCACAAAATGTTGATGATCATCCTACCAACTGAGTTCAACTCATTATATTGTTACGTAGTTTGTCTCCTCGTCAACATCAACTAGCATCCCTGTTAGTCTCTTTAAATAAATCTTTTATTACCATACGTATTATTCTCTCTAACTTTCTGCTGAATCACATGTATAACTGAAACGTCCTAGCATATCTTGCTAACTTTATCTGCGTTTTTGTATTCATTATTACGTCATGTCGTTTCCTGTTAACCAATTTCATTTGACTTCAAAAATGTGTTTTCAAATTCTTTTGTGATATGATGCCTAAATGTTTTCGGTCGTAAGCATCTGAAGAAAAATCGGTGAGACAAAATAGTACTCTGTTATTCCGCTGAGACTATTGTTCTTACTCTATTCAGGTTCACAAAACGGAAGATGGGTGTGAAATAAGATTTTGATTGGGTAACACATTAGAATGTGGAATCATTTCAGATGAATAACTCGTTTAAATAAAAACAGTAAGAATTTCATAGCACCTAGGAAATCGCGAGTTTATCCTTTCAGAAAACAATTTATTTTTTACATGCACAGAGGAAATATGAGTACAACAAATCATCACAGAAACCGAAGCGGATGGTGGTAGAAAAACTTAAGTATACAAATAATATAAATTGCCCAAATTACTTGAGGGTTGATTTCAAAATTCTTTTCATCAGAAACTGATAACAGCTGGGGAATCATGGAGAACAATAGAAAACTGAAAAGCAGTTTTGCTGTAGTGTAAGATACTATATAGTTCCCGGTTATCTACCTGTCTGATATCGTTAAATCGATCAGTTCAGAAAAAAATACTCAATTTATGAGTAAGTTGGTGCAGAATATTCTGGAAGATATCTTTACATATATCTACCACATTTTTGATTAAAATCATCTAGAAAGTTCTAAATCACGAATGTTCTCAAATAAGCGAAACAAAGTAGATGGATTGAAGACTCATTTCAAAAAAGCTAAGCTAAGGACATAATACAATTTAAATCTAGCTGGAAATCACGAAAATCATGCTGAGCCATTAACAACCAAGAAATTGGTAATCATTGACTACTTGGTAGTCATAAACAACAACAAAATCAATGTTTAGACACTACCTCTATATTGTATTCTATTCTTAAGACGGAAGACAAAGTTTGAAGATGAAAATAACTAAACTAGTCATGAGTCTATCGCTGTTACGAAACAATGCTGATAGTAATACGAGCTTTAGCTGTACACAGATATTGATGACAGTGAAAGTTAGATGACATTGCATTGATGGGTTATGGAGTATTCATTTCACTGAAGTTCGATTCATATTACATTCAGGTTAGTATATCACACAACTGTAGAAGCACAGAAAAAGATTGGGAAATATCAATGAACGTTACCCAACAATATTCATAGAATTACGCAAGAGATCGACTAAACAGAAAGCAAGCGTAATCTGATTATGAAAGCTATCAGGGCAAACAGATGTGGCAGCTATTGCAATGTCTTTATACATCTTTTCAACATCACCATCAGCTAATTAACTTTGAAGCTGAAGAAAAAATCTTATAGTAGATGAAAGACATGGGAAGAGTTTATATATTTGACCAAAGGGTGTAAAACAGCCAGTTGTAAGCTGGACAGTGAGTTTGTTAAATAACATGAAAGAAGGTGGTCAGCATATATTCTATGCATACCCAGAATCCATACAATTCGGTAAACAGTAATGAAGAGACCAGGACATCGGCAACAGATAATAACTTCAATTTAATCAGAGGGTCAAGGTACATTAAAATAAATGTTATAAATATGATAACAAAAGTATCCTCTCATCGATCCATGTATTCTAATTTTAATTAACATCTAAATATGCACAATCTGTACCACACAAATTTTCGTGTAGTTTGTGGAGATGAAAAGCAAGAACATAATTGTAGGATAGTAATGATGAGTCATAATAAATTTGTTTTGCTTTACTGTGAAGAACATACGAAAAAACAATGACTGTGATTACCTTAATTAATGAAAAAAAACATGACTGACAGTGGATAGTCCGGTTCATATCCTCTTTATTTACATGCTAAGGCATTTAGGAGAATGAAATATGCTATTTCGAAACATTTTAGCACATTAAATGGTGATGGCATGGTAACAAATGACCAGCTTCATTTCTAAATGCTAGTCAGAAATCACTTATAAACGCTCATAGAACCCACTGCCAACAGTTTAGGAAATAATTTCAAAAGTAAAATACTGACTCATAGGAGTGACGATTAGAAATCTTGTTCACAAGTGCTAGTAAACAAAAAAGAACACAAAGTAAATCAGCGGACGAAATTTTCTTTTCGATGAATAAGCCTATTATTGGCCAATAGATCAACATTAGGTCATCAAAACGGAATGTTCTAAGGTGAGCCGTTTCTAGAATTAGGCTGAGTAATCATAGGGTTTATGAGGAAAACATGTAGTCGATCACGATGATGACCAACAGGTTGAAAAATAATAATGCTAATTAGAATTATGAGGATCTTAATGGGAAATTGGAACTAATATCTTAAGACGTAGGGAAATAGACCATAAAGTAAAAGCAAAAAAAAAAAAAATCAGTCAATGAGAGTAGGATGAATACTGAAACAATGAAGAAATTCAAAGAAAGATTATGACCATGCAGAACTCAGGTTTTAATTATTGGTTTACCAACGCCTCTGTTATACATGAATGACGAACCCGAACGCCTTTTCAGTTGTTTAGTTTAACTTTGTATATGCTTTTGAAAGAAGACTGTAGGGAGGTGACAACCAAAAATGACCAAGCATGAAACTGTCACTTGACTTCCTTTCTCCTCTACACAGTCAAGCAGGAGAGTGCCGGGAGATGCGTTGGAAAGATTGCACTTTGTGCGGCCTGCACACTGAGCTCCATAAGAGGAGGTAAACTGATAAACACGTATAGATGTGGCCCACAGGGCTAGTTTGTCCTTCACAATCCCTTGAGTCAACTGTCGGCTGGAGATCATTCACAGTTTAGAATGTTTTTCTGAATGGCTTAGAAAGACGATTCTTCAGTAGTTTTGTTGCATTATCCCCTTTGAATTCAATATTCATGAATAAGATCTTTTTAGGAACAGTAAGAACTTGCTTTTATCACTGTTTTGGCTTTATTTTTATGATAAATCTTGGGGGGGAAGTTGATTTGAAGAAGTATTTGATTCAAGGTCTGAGGGAAAACTGTCACTGTGGACTATAAACATGATAAACGGCTGAAAACGAGTTCAGATTCGTTGCTCATGTATAACAGAGGCATTGGTAATTTAACATTTAAACCCTGAACTTTGTGCATACAAGAGGTACGTGTATTCTCTTGTTTTGCCGCGGTCATAATCTTTTTTGGTTTTCTTTGTTGTTTCAGTTACTTTTATTGGCTGATTACTTTTATTATTTTTGCTTTATGGTTTACTTTCTAATGACTTAACATGCTGATTCCAATTTCCCAATAAAACTCGTAATGCTCCGACCGTTGATCATAATTAGCATTATAACTTTACATCCTATTAGTCATTAGTGTGATCGACTGGATATTTTCATCAAGAACCTTACGATTACAAAATCTTTTTATAACTCTAAAAACGACTCACTATTTCATCCTAGAACATTCCGTTTTGATGACTTATTATTGTTAGCCTATTGGCCAATAATAGGCTTTTTTTATTTAATTGTTATTGCTGTAAATACAAGTGCACAGTTGTTAAAAATGACTCGTCGAAAAGAAAATTTCCTCCTCTGAATTAGTTTGTGTCACTTTTGAAATGTCGCGATGGGCTTCTTGTTTGATATAAACAGAAAATCCTCAATAACCCCTGCTGAAAAGATCCATGCACATTCAACAGTCTAGCGAATAGTAGTAAACAGAAAATCTATGTATTGACATGAAGTATTACACCAAGAAAGAAAATTAGGTATTCATAAGGGTACCTCTGGGACAGCATAGTTTTAAATCAAGACAACTATTACAAAAAGACTACAAGGATTTATGGTTTTAGTCTTGAACAATACAATATACTGGGTTATGATTCATTAATTTCCCTAACTGCTGTTCCATGTCACTAAACTGGGACGAAAAGAACAATGAGCGTCGAATTTATATTTCGTAATTGTAAGGTATTATTTTAGGTTTCATACCAGCCAGAATTTATTGCCAATGGGTTTATATACCAATTTGAGGAAAATGTTGTTGTCTTAGACCCCTAAACTGATGTGACTTAGTTTTACAGTCGAATAATAGACTACTGAGGTATTCAGATTACAACTTGTCTTCTCTAAGAACGGATCGAGTATAGTAACGGGTCGCTAAGTAGTAACCAATATTCTCAGACTAAGTCCTATGTTGGCGGATAGGATGTAACTGAGACTGAATTTTACTGAGCGCGAACTATCGATTATGGTGAAGTTTTCGATGTATTCACAATCATTTTCTCTAAAAGAAATTTCGCAAAACATTTGGTTCTGACCGCATCATCATTATCAGCCGGTCACATCACTCATGAAGGGATTACTTTTTGTTTAAATTATATTATCCAGCGTTATAACGGCTAGGCTACGGTTGATTTATTGTTAACCAATTATGGAAATGCAAATACAGAACCATGGGAAGAACTTAGCGACTTTATATTTTTACATGTGCGAATTGTGAAATAATTCTGTTCTAACTGTAATACCGGCTGCAATGCAGAATATAATACTTTATATTCAAACAATCTCCAAGTCAGTTGTTTGTGAGGAACTTATATTAATTTGAAGACAGCTCTTACCAGCAGCTGATATCAGCCAGAGAACACCAGATAACTGTTTTAGTTTAGTTTGCAGACCCCACACTTTTAGAAAAGTGAGTGGTATTAAAAGCCTTTATACCCTAGTACTCTTGAGCAATGTGCGCTAATGATCACACGCTGGATCGAGAATAAAAGCTTTAGGTTTCCCAAGTTCATGGATACCCAGTTGCTGGCGTGGAATGCAATGGCTCACAATTCTCAACTTTTGACAATTCCCTTTATAGCACAGTAAACAGTATCTTATGTCATCAGTTGATTGCGAAACTCTGCTGATACCGATTTAGATGACCCATTGTTTTTCTGAGCCTATTTATAAAAAAAGAAGTTCACAGACTTATGGAAAATTTCAAAATGATCACTGAATTGCATTGGTCATATCGTTATATTTAATGGTCCTATTCACTCAACAGTTTGAGAATTTATCGCTTTATCAGGGATATGAAAACATAGGTGTGTATGATAAACATTTGGTATTGATTCAATAAATAAAAATAATGATTAGCAAACAAACAAATGAAATAAATTCACATGATAAAATAAACATACCTGAACTGGGATTAACATACGAAGTATGCTGTACATCAGTGAACCAAGCATGTTCGTTCTTTAGGATAAAAATGCACAAATATTCATTGATAAATCAAATGCGGTAAAGTGGTTGCGTACAAAATAGAAAAATATTCCTTAGCTTTTAAGAAGAGACTATCTGAATTTACTACATCCTTGATGTATTAAAGCTATTATCAATTTCTGTTAATTATACGTATGACTACATATAGACTGTCACTGGTTTTAGCTGAAATTCATAAATCTTGTTTTATGTATTTAGTCAACTTATGAATTTAGAACTTTCATTTCTTTCCAAACACTTGATGCATTATGTAGTAACTACTGATAACAATAATTTGTTTTAATTCTCGATTTTCTGAGGCTAACGATATCAGTGTAAACATTTGGCACTGTGGTACAGCGTAATTTCACATTAGATCAATCTATTTGATATAGAACACGATAAAAGTATTATTTATTAAACGATGTTTAGCGCCCGATCCTACTGCTGACATTCGCATCAACGTAATTCAACAATTTTCTGTCAGTTATTATTGGTTCTATTGTTTTTAATTTTGTCAGTAATAGGATTTTACATATCTCAAATAGACCAATCTAATATGTAACAAACGAGATGTCATGAAATGAACAAGTGCCCCAGTGGCCTAGTGAGGTTTGAAACGATAAGCACTGGGTTCGAGTCTCAGCGGGAACGACATCCAGCAGACGAGTCTCAAATAGGACGAAACGCGTGTCCTAGATTCCATCGCTAGTCACCAAGAGGAATATAAGTTTATTTTCTTGTGCCGTTTTCTTAGTCCTGTCGCTATTCAAAATGACTAGGCTCAGTTAATTGGGATAACAACTTATTTTAGAAAAATGAACTCGTTGTCTACTTTGAAAAGAATAATAAATAATTTTACTTTATTAAGTCTTCATCTTTTTAACCTGAATTACACTTGGGAGGTAGCAAGATGAATTATTTGACATCACACACAGAGGATATCCAGTGTCAGAAAGTGAGCGGTGAAGTGAACAACTACAAAGTGAAAGTTCAGTAGTTATTTCATTTCTCCCAAGAATGATATCCAATATCTTTCTGAGCTGATTACCATCCTTACAATCAAAACAAGCAAGTTTTTCAACGCATAAAAATATACTAACGTTGATATTTGCTTCTACAGATATAACAGCTAGGTAATAACAGTTGCGTAAATTAAGACGATGAAGGACACGTGTTAAGTCATAAAGAAGATGGACGACAGTTCAACGAAGAAAATTTTTTCCCACGATTTCGTGTAATACAGCTTTACAATTGTATTTACTAGTGTCAAAAACAAATAACAGTCTACTCATAATCAATAGGATTTGGTGATTACTTTTACTTTCAAGACTAGGATAAAACGTTGTTTCTTAAGACGGAAGGAAATTATGCAGTAATAGATACATCATTGATAAAACCATGATGACAGGAGAAACAGAACATATTTCTTATTTACGTAAAGTTCGGTTTTGAACTGGTAGATCACCAGCGCTTTAGTCGTGAGCAAGTCACAGAATTGTACTGCTTTTGGACCTAGTTTTAAGTTTACAGAAAACTTGAACATAGGATTCTGGTGGAGCTGCATAACCTGAAATGATCAGATGCTTAAGTACTGAAGTGCTTACATTTAATAGCAATGCACGATTATGTTCATAGATGTGTTCAGAGAACACATTCTTTGTTCAGTCGACATAACTAACTCCGTAGAAGCAAGTTAACTTGTAGTCACGCATTGATGTAGCACAAAGCGGCAGCTTTTTCTTAAATAACCTAAAGTTCAATAGAAAACAGTATCTTTTTCATTGATGCGGTTGGACGGTTTCATGATTTTTAACGCACTATTACCTCTAAAATCAGTGTTCATAGACAATGCTTTCTTCTGGAATGAGGACAGAATTTCAATGTTGGTCGTACTATGGATTATTCATGATGAATTTGGGAGTGGATACCAAGAGCACTTGTCAAGGTCTTTTCGGTTCATCTTCAGTGGTATCATCAGTACAGATCTTTCTGACTCTCGACCAAAGTGAAGGAGTCTTATTGTTTTATCTGCTTAGTAGAGTTCAGGTTTAGAAATGAATGTACTGGTCAATCCGTATCAGCTTTCCATAAACCAATTTCTGAAGGGAACGACCAGATCTTTCAGTACAACATCCAGAAAATGGAATTCTAAGTTTACTTGACTGACTGGTGAGAACCATTAGACTTTTCAACGATGGATTCTGTGTCTGTATCTTCTTTTTATAACAATTTTCATCCATATATCTGTTAAACAGATGGAAACTATTAATCATTGGGTGTAACATCATCATCAACATAGGACCAGGCATTTCTGAGTCAAGGTTGAAGTTGTAACACCTTATATTAGCGCACCAAGTAACAAAGCAGGAAGATGAAAGATGAGGAAATAAGGAACCAGTCAAAAGTAGTAGAAAGCAGAAAAAGAGAGGAAGGAGGAATGAGAAAATGCTAAACTAAGTATAACGACCAAGATGAAGATAATGTATGGATATGTCTGAGCTACTAGCATCAATTCTAAGCCATATCACCTACAATCTTCTAGCGCTGGTTTCTGTTGTCACACGGACTTCAACTTCGAAGTTCACATTCCCTTACATAGCTCAGACCAACATCTAGATGCTTTATGGATCGATACCATGAGGTTGCCACGAAGTGGTGACATCACTGCCATTCCATCTGTAGAATGCACTACCCAATTTAAACTGTAAACTAAAAACATATTTCAGAAGTAGCTCTTAAAATATTGCTTTGGAATATCAGAATCCTACGTTAAAGTTGTCGAAAAAATTAGAACAATAGTTTCAAAAGGAGTACAGTTCCATGACGTTTTCAGGATGAAATTTCTGACAATTCATCAGTTCCAGCCCGAACTCTGCGTAAAGAAATATGTTCAGTCTCTCCTAACACCATGGATTTATCAATGATATACTACTACATAAGTTCCTTCCATTCTAAGAAACAACGTTTTATCCTAGTCTTGAAAGTAAAAGTAATCACCAAATCCTATTGATTATTAATACACTGTTATTTGTTTTCAATACTAGTAAATACGAGTGTAAAGCCATAGGATATGACATATCTGAAAAGAAAGTTTTCTTCACTAAATTGTCGTTCATCTCTTTTGGTTACATAATTATTAAACCTCATACATATTTTGAGTCAAATTATGTAGCTGCCTTAGGCTAGGAATGCATGTTTCACAAGGTCATGAGGATTTATTTGAGAAGAAAAGTTACTAACCATAATTAGTCATTTAATCTGCATTTGCTCTAACCGTAGAACGGTGAACGAATGTAAATATTTTTTGAACCCTCGAGGCTTATTAGTCGTTGGTATGAAAAGTTCTATAAAGTGGCTACAAATACCTGAGAATTATTTTGTGAAACCACTAGGAAGGTAATGTCAAGGTTAGGTGAATGTATCTGAGAAGGACACTCACGCCTCTTGATGTAGTGATCAGCCTTCTAAGGCGAAGAATATTAAAGGCGACATACTGCACAAGTACACCAGCTTCTTGCCTTAGGAATGTTGGGTGAAACGAATAATGAGAAAATCGATTTTGTTGTATCAAACAGTATGAAAAGTTTCAGGCTACAAGTGTTTTCTTAGCAGTAAAACCATTTATTTTTTAACAAGGGTAAATATTATCTAGACCAGTTTACAGTGGGGCAGTGACAACTTTAATGAATCCATACTTTTTACGACGTTACATTCAAGGAAGTGTGACCTCACCTCACTTTTATCTTTTTATAGGACTCATTTAGTTGTGCTGTTTGGAATTAAGAAAACTTGAACTACGTTATCTTAAAACACTTCTTACAGATCTCAGACTGAATTGATTGCACCAAAATGAACCATTCTGTTTACTGAACTATTTTAAACTACTAAATTAAAACGGCCTTCATGTCATTTTGAAAGCTGACAGCGAAACACGAAGGATCATTTTATGAGCGAAATTCCAGGTACGCTGATCTAATCAATTTCCGAAAGTAAAGGGAACTCTGTCCACACCCCATAGGGAGATAAAACAAAACTCTGACGACAAAATCGAGGGAAAAAAGGTAATACAGAAAAAAGAAAGGCAGAATAAGCGACCACTCAATCCTATAAAAGGCCACTAGGAACCTACCACTATTATTGTTCACAAACTGAGGACACAAAAACATTGTAAGAAAGTCGTCGCCTGTATCAATTTTGGGTAGTAGTCAATTAAACTTCGAGGTATGGAGTCCTACTACCTCTCGTATCCCATCCAGAGAAATCTGAACTAGCCTAATGCAATTATTCTGTGCAATTCTGTCAACGGCATCCCAGTTTCTTTTAGCAAGTGTCAGAGCTTGCAAATGGCGAAAGGTATGAAACTCAGCGAGATGACGTGCATAAAACACGGCCAATCAAACAATGCCAGTATTTCAAAATACCTTCATTTTTCATATGATGAGCCCAACTATTTCAAAGATACTTTGTGGGACCTCACAGTTTTCTATATGATGTCTCCAGTGGATACGAAAAATTCTGTTGACGATTGACCAGAGCTATTTGACTTCTTCTAATCAAAGAAACGTTTCACCAGCGTATAGTAGAACTTTCTAAATCAAGGCCTTAGACACATTTTAAAGTCAGAATAACGTCGCGATGGTAAAACAACACTGATTTTGGTCACTGTACGCCACTTTATCTTTCGACATACGGTTGTAAATCTTATGGAACGCTTTCATAAACATTTAAACACGATCAACATAGGACTAGATATCACTCGACTGTCCAAGTGGTCACACCCCGTGTCAGTAAATAAAACGAGAATCCACTACGGTGAGAGGTCAAGAAATAAGAAAGAAAACAGTCAAACGTGGTACACAGACATCGACAGAGAGCAAGGAACGATGAGAGAACACCGAACTTATTCTGGCGATTAAGATAACGATGATGTTTGGATACATCTGTACCACTGACACAGATTCTGAGTCATACCACCTGGAGTCTGCAAACACTAGTTTCTGTTGCCACGCTGACCCCAAACCGAGAAGTCTATATTTCCCTACAAGGCTTAGACCATTAGCTAAAAGTTTCAGGAAGTTACACCGCAGGGCAGTCTAGCTGCCTTTAACCCTTTTTCAGTCTAAATCGACTTCAGCTAACGCTATGTGATGAGGAAGACGGCAACTATGCGTGTGTAATATGTGATCGAGCCACAACCTTACTAACCGACTTTCCTCTCCCCCCTAATACTCTACACCTAACTTCTACATTTATGACGCTGTTACACCACAATACGGCCTATGCTACGGATGCAGCGGTGGTCAAACATCTGAAACCCTCTCATATATTCTACCTTTAATGGCCATGTTTCACAGTGGAACAGAACAGACTGCAGCACAGTACACTCGACCCTTAATAGACAACCGGATATCGCGGCGGCGCCACAGATGTGGTAAGTCGCCGAAAGCCAACCAAGCATTTTGTATCCGTGCAGAGATTTCGTCGGCCGCTGAACCACCAGGGCTGATCCCACTTACCAGGTGAGTGGGGCGTTCAACGCGCTCAACCACTTCATTCTCTACTGCTAGTCGGGACGTCGTTGAAGACCAGTTCTGGAGTGGTGAGAAACTCATATTAACCATTCTCAAATTCCCATTCAGGATGTCCAGAAAACTACGTATCTTGTCAACATCACCCGACAGGACCGTATTAGCTGCATACTCTCGATCTACCTAGAATTCTCCCATGATAAGACCGATTCCTGTGAAGTCAGGAGACGACAGGAAGACCACTATAAGGACGTCTATGACTAAGCTAAATAAGAAAGGAGAGAGTTGATATACTAGAAGAACACTACTCGATGTATCCAACTCACCTGATAAATCACCATAGGCTGAAACATGCACGCGAGTGTTCGAGTACAGCGACTTTAACAGGGTGACACTGATTAAGTTCTCCTTTTAGTGAGAGACACTGCCACTAGATATTTTTCTCAACAGAGTTGAATGCTGACTTCAGGTTGAGAAATACAGCTAGTGTCAGGTGTATTGGTAATCCTCCCTGTACTTATGAAGCTGGCGGAGTGTGAATACCTTATCGATGCACCGACGGCTAGGTCTGACGCCTGCCTGGCTTTCTTGCGTTTGTTCTTTCGGAGTATCAGGCAACCGTCCAGTGCTTATAGAACCTGGAGTCTTGGACGTTGTGTTTGTTAGGCTGATTCTCTTGTTTTTATCAGAAAAGTATTCATCGCTTTTCTTGAAAACTGGAACAATTAGTGAATGGAACCAGTCGGAGCGGATCATATCTCATTCCCATACTCCAGGTAGTATTCCAGTTAACCTAACCAATAACCCGCGACTGCCGTCCTTAAATATCTTTTGTACTAGTCCATCTGGCCCTTTTCTGCTTCCTCACTTCAGATTACTTACAGATTTATCGACTTCTGCAAGAGTTGGAGATCCGAACTCGATGCTCTCCTTGGAATCCAACTAGATAGTGGGCAATGGAATAGTAGCTGGAAGCCAGTTGAAGCGTTCTGCAAAGTGTCCTGCCAATTGTTTCATTCGTCTGTCTTGTAAGTGAATCACAAATCATACTTCACCATATTCTGACCAATCACGGACGTTTTCGCTTGAGCTTCCTTGATAAGTCTAAATAACTGTTTGGTGTTGCCTATTGCTAATACCTTCCCCGACTCTTTAGTATCCGTTACCTTTACTCTTGAGTCATTGGATGGGCTCTTTTTCAGTCTACATGTGGGTTGCTGCCTCTTCTTCTCGGTGCATGGAAATAATGCATTCATGTGCATCCAATAATTCAGAAGAAGCTCCTTAGTTCCATTGGTTCCCTCTAGCCACTTTCTGAGATTCAGCTGGTCTTCAACGCTGTTTTTGCAGCAAACTGGAGATGTCACTAGTCTTCTTGGTGAATACTGCTGTTCTGTACTGATAATGATAACTATCTAGCGTTGAAAACAGCTTTAGTATTCCCATCACCGAGCAACACTCGAAACAGTCTTGTTTCCCCACATTAATTTAGATGCAAACATATGCCTGTTCGAAACAGTATGTCACCACTATTCAAACATATGCTTCAGAAGGAGCAGCAATCTTTCGCCGACTTCCTAGAGATAAATGATAGCAAAATTGTCCATTTAGGTCCACCGCTGAGTTGAGGTTGGTGGACGCCCTGTCACATAGTGTCTCTCTTTATGTCTGTAATGCTGGCCAGAGAAAGACGGTTGTTTGAACAAGGTCACGGCAGGGAATCACCATTATCTTTTCGTTTGGGTGAGATTCCGAAAGTGCCACGCAAGTGCTTTTATGACTGACCTGGGCTACCTACTTGTGTATTGAAATCGCCTACAGCGAAAACCACTTTTGAACGTTTGGCTTTCAGTAGGAGGCCAGACAGCTTCTGGCGGGAGCAATCTCTCACTTCATCCGAGTCGCAGTCAGTGGGTGCGTGAGCAAAAATTACAGACAGACAATAGAGGGCTTTACTACAACGTTTATTTCTTACTGTGCCACTCAGTCGAACAGTGCGTAGGCAACCATCAACAGGAACCCAGTCGTAGAGTGCACTTTCTGCCTTCGCACTTAATGCTATGCCTACACCTGAGAGACCATGGAAACTAGTCATCGTATCCCCGGAAACTAGAAGGGTGACTTTTGCGGATTCACCATATTGACCGAGTGAAGTTAAGTAAATAACCACACAGATCCATGCCCCGATTTGCAAGAGTTTCTACTAGTGAAGCTTGTTGACCGATTTGAAGGAGGGTCCGGATATAAAAAGTTCCAATGTATGATTTGCAGCGCGGTTTCAGGGGACCAGTGATGCTGTTCCGTGAATGAATCGTTGTCTAGAGCTGCAGAACTGGAAGAAATTAAAGACGATGTGGAATTATTCTCCTAGAGATGGTAGCAAAGATGAGAAGGTAAGGATGTGGGAGGTAGAAAGCTATCTGAAGAAGCTTGAGTGGTGACAGAGTTGTGAGGGCAGTTGCGCACACTGAGAAAGGCTGGTTTTCCTTGAGGTAGCTGAGAAAAAAGGGTAGGGAGTGATAGTTTAATTTTTTGGGGAAATACGACTGTGTACCTGTTTCGCCGCCACCAGTAAGCTAAGGGGAAAAGTGAAGTGTACCATTTTTAGGGTCGACCACTCCTCCGACTTCACAGGGAAAGCAACATCATCATCATCATCATTATCAACATAGGACCAGGCATTACTGCGTAACGGTCCGAGTTGCCACACCTCATATCAGCACATCAAGTAAAAAGGTAGTGAGGTGAAGGATGAAGATAAGTGAATGCAGTCAAAAGAAATATAAAGTATGAGAAGAAAGGAAAGAGGAGTGACAAAATAGTGAGATTCGGTATAGCGTTGTTAAGATGAGGATAATGTGTGTATACATCTGCGCCACTGACTTCGGTTCTGAGCCATATCACCTAGGGTCTCCAACCACTGGTTCCTCTTGTCCCGTGGACCCCAACCACCTAGTCTGCATCGTCCTACATGGCTTAAACCAACAGTCAGAGACTTCATACATTGGTGCCATGTTTTAGTCTGGCCACCTCGGGCCTTTTTCCAGCCTGAACCCACCTCAGCCAACATTGTGTGACGAGGCAATCGGTGACTAGGCATACGTAGTACGTGTCCCAACCATCTCAGTCGATGAAGGTTCACAACCTCGTCGACTGACTTACCTCTTCTCCCTAAAACTCTACACCTAACTTCTGCATTACTCACATGGTGACACCACGGAATACGTCCTATACTACGAAGGCAACGGTGGTCAAATACCTGTAACCTTCTCATGTCTTCCACTTTCAATGGCCATGTTTCACAGCCATACAGTAGAACAGAGCGGACTGCTGTGCAGTACACGCGACCCTTAATAGACAAACGAATATCACGGCGGCGCCATAGGTGGCGCAAATTGGCAAAAGCCAATCGAGCCTTTTGTATCCGTGCAGAAATCTCATCGGCAACTAACCCACCGGGTTGATCCTACTTCCCAGGTAAGTGAAGTGGTCAACACACTCAACCACTTCACTCTCTATTGTTAACCGCGGTACCGCTGAAGACCAGTCCTGGAGCAAAAATTTGCATTTGGGTGGTGAAAATCGCATCCCAAACATTCTCAAATTCCCACTCAAAGTGTTCAGAAGACTCTGCATCTTGTCAGCGTCTTCACCTAACAGGACTATGTCATCTGCATATTCTAGATCTAAGGAAAATTCACCTGTGGTCCGGTCAACGTCTTTGTAATTAGGTGACGAGAGGGAAACCTCCATAAGAATATCTATGATAAAATTAAATAAGAATGGGGATAGTGGGCATCCTTGACGGACACCACTTGATGAGTATAGCTCCCTGGACAACTCACCATAGGCTCTAACATGCCCACAAGTGTTCGAGTAGAGAGCTTTCAATAAGGTGATGTACTTACTAGGCACGCCTTTCAGTGACAGACACTGCCATAAGACTTCTCGATCAACGGAGTCAAATGCCGCCTTCAGGTCGAGAAATACAGCTATTGTCGGGCGTCTGTAAGCATGCCTATGTTCCAGGACCTGGCGCAGTGTGAATATTTGGTCGATACATCCACGGCCAGGTCTAAAGCCTGCCTGGTTTTCTCGGGCTTGCTGTTCCCGAGCTCCACTCAGGCGTCGGAGAATTATAGAACTTAGGATCTTAGACACTATGTTTGTCAGGCTGATTCCTCTGTGGTTATCACAAGAGGACTTCTCGCCTTTCTTGAAGACTGGGATGATCAGTGACTTAGACCAGTCGGAGGGGATCGTATTTGATTCCCATATACTGGCTAACACTTCCGTTAGCCTGACTAAGAGAACTCTACCACCATTCTTGTATACCTCAGCAGGTAGTCCGTCTGGTCCTGCTGCCCTTCCCCGTTTCAGGCTACCTACCGCTTTCTCAACTTCTTCTAGTGTTGGGGGACCTGTCTCTATGTCCCATTCAGGGTCCGACTGGATAGCGGGCAGCGCAATGGTGGCTGGAGGCCAGTTAAACTGTTCCTCAAAGTGTTCTGCCCATCGTCCCAGTCGCCTTCCCTGCGAGTGAATCGCCGATCCGTCCTTCTCCGCTATAACCTCACTAACTGTTGTTGACCATTTCCCCCCAGTCTCCTTAATAAGTCTAAATAACTGTCTACTGTTACCGATCGCCGCTGCCTTTTCCATCTCTTTAGCCTTTGCTGCCCACCACTGTTCACGATCGTTGCGCAGACTTTTCGTCAGTTTATTTTTAAGTTGCGCTCGCTCTTCATTGTACTCAGAGCCTGCAGGGATGCATTCACGTGCATCCATTAGTTTGGAAGAAGCTGCTGATATCCACTGGCTCTTTTTAGCCATTATCTTGGAGTCGGCTACAGTCTCCAGTGCTGCTTTTACAGTAGACTGAAGATGGCACCAAGCTTCTTCTGGATGAGTGACAGTCTTTTGTTCCGATAACTGCCTAGCCAACTTCTCACTGAACACGGCTTTGGTGTTTTCGTTGTCCAGCAGAACTCGTAGTGGTTTTGTTGCCAAATTTTTTCTACGTCCATTGAGACGCAGGCATATACGTGCTCGGACCAACGCATGATCGCTGTCCAAACACGTACTCCAGAAGGAGCGGCAGTCTTCCACCGATCCTCTCCAGCGATGACTAATAGCAATGTGGTCTATCTGTGTCCATCGCTGAGTCGAGCTCGGTGGACGCCAGGTCAGACAGTGCCTTTCTTTATGTCTGAAATTTGTGCTGGCTAAAAATAGGCGGTTATCTGAGCATAGTTGTAATAGGCGATCACCGTTATCTGTACGTTCAGCTGGGATTCCGAAAGTGCCACCTAAGTGCCTTTCTGCCTCACTCAGTCTACCCACCTGTGCGTTGAGGTCACCTGCAACAACCACTACGTCCGAACGTTTGGCTTTCGAGAGGAGGTTAGACAGTTTATGGTAGAACTCGTCCTTCACTTCATCCGAACTACAGTCAGTGGGTGCGTAAGCAGAGATTACAAAGAGACAACGGCGAGTCTCACTATTCCTTTTAGTTCTCACTGTGCCGTTCAGCCTCATAGCGCAGAGGCGACTATCAACTGGGATCCAGTCTAGTAGTGAGTTTTCTGCCCTGGTGCTTAATGCTATACCTACACCTGCAAGACCACGAGAGCTAGCTATCGAATCTCCAGAAACTCGAAGGGTGAATTTTGCAGATTCACCAGATTGGTCAGGAGAGGTCAGGTGAATAACCACACTTGGGTCCTGTATGCGTGTCTCACAAACACAGCACACATCCATGCCCGAGTTGCTAGAGTCTTTGCCAACGAAGCCTGTTGGCCAATTTGACGGAGGGTGCGGACATTGAAGGCTCCAATATGTAATTTGGAGCGTGGTTTAAGGAGACCAGGGACACTGTTCTGTGGACTCAGATCGTTGTCGAAGGCTGCAGAGGTAGGAGAAATTGAAGATGATGCAGCATCATTAATTAAGAGACGTGAAGGAAGATTAGAAGGTAATGATGGAGGAGGAGGATAGCAGTCAGAAGAAACTTGGGTGCTGACAGAGTTGTGAGGGCGGTTGACACTTCCCGGCTGCCCACACCGTGGAAGGCTATTTCTTCTTAAGGTACCTGAAAGAGATTTGTGTGACCGCAGAGCCCATCGGACATCTGCTTGAGGCCTGTCACACCCAGCCTTTTGAGTATGATTATTTTGAATTTTTGTATTTTTGGGGCCGGATAGTCGAAAGGAAACGACAAGTGAACCAACACCGCCGGCCCGGCAGACCGTGGGGCGTGGTGGAGTGTGTTATTTTTGGGGCCGACCTTTTCTAACCCCCCCTTCCACTGAGAAGGCAGCATCAGCTTGGCACTGCTGGTCATCCAAGGGAAACACCTTACTGCTGTCACACCCCATCCAGCTAGCAGCAGTACGACTTCGCCCTCAGACCCCCATCATAGTGTAGCAATTTACACTATGACGGTAACTGCTTTTCGTCTAACCACTACCCAACAGACCTTTCTGGTATGGTAGGACCTCGAGGGAACAAGCGTTCCACCAGCATAGCTCGTTGGGTCATTGTGATATGCAAGCCCGACCACCACGTCAAGGTAGCAGCTATCGGTCGGGGGAAAGCAACATCAGTGTGGTTCTACTGTTCATCCAAATGGAACACTTTACTGTTGTCACATCCCTGCTTAGGCAGCAGTAGGAATTCGCCATCAGACCCCATCATAGCGTAGCAGTTCAAACTATAACAGTAACTGCCTTTAAACTTACTATTAACCAACTGACCTTACTGATATAGTGGTACCTTGAGGAAACGGATGTTCTACCAGCATAGCTCAGTGGCTTACTATGATATGCAAGCTCGACCACCAAGTATCGGTTCTAACCATCCACACAACTATGAAGAAAACCAAGCTTTCAATCATCTTTATTGGTCGGATACTGGTCACTTACTGTTTCAGTCAACAAAACTTCATTGAAGAAATGGTTTGTAACCAACGAACTTACTTTGACTGAAGGTAAATTTCTATTTTGCTGTTCATCCTGAACAGTTGTCTCTTGGACGCTGCGAGAGAATTGTTCAGTGATATTAAATGGAGACCCATCATTCATACTAGCAGCAAATGTTAAATTAGTTGTGTCGCTATTATTTGTATTTGAACAACATAAACATTCTGAAGTCCATGAAGAATCAACGACAGAACATTGTAACAAACCCCCACGTAACATATCTGTAGATACAATGATAAGGTAACTGACAGCAAGAAGGGTATGTCGAATCTCGAAACAATAACAAATTCGATACAAAAAACAATTTGATTCTAATAAATCTGACAATTAAATATCAAATACCACACATAAATCTAGTTCAGTTAGTTTCTACGATAAATGAAAGTTATGTTAATTTGGTAATATGTTCAGACTGGACTAACGTTTTCAGTTTCATTGTTTATTCTGATGCCATATGTTACCTGGGTTAAGACTAAGTTGGAAAAAATTTGAGAGTATGCACATCGTTATGTTGAATTTATCAATGAAGTTGTTAGCTATTGGTTTGACAAATAAAGGGAAGTGTAGGATCTTTGCATATCCGTAGCTAACAGGTAGCGACAAATCAAATTCGATTACAGTAGTGCAGACGTATTGATTTTTTGTTTTCTTCACGACATCGTATTTTCCGTTGTTCTTCACTTATTTATGCTCTTTTCCCGCACTTTCCTCCTTTTTGTTGCCTCCTCCTTCGCTATCATGAAGCGTAGCAACCCCAACCGGTACATACTTGATAGAGGAGCACGCCGATTATTTGTCTGTCTTTCTAACGTACGTGATATGACTTAAGATCTTGATAAATAGGCCAAGCCGGTCCCCAGTCTCTGCACTACTCCCGGTTTCAGTTGTACACTATGTAGATTTCTCTGACTAAAGCTACCGCGAGAAAATTTTCTTTGATTTTAGTTTGACCCTATCGTTTGTTCGGTTTAGTTTATCTCTAATTGGTTTTTACGAAAAGAGATGACTATTCTCCTTTGAATCAATCAAAATTTCATCGTAGTTATTATTCAAAACGTCAATCTTAAAAGTTTAACTGTTTCGCTACAGAAATATATGCATAGAAAGCACTGTAATATGTATTCTAATACTGCTGTCAAGACTAAATTATCCCTACATCGCTTTTTCACCGCCACATAAATTCACATCCAAAATAAATTAGAATAAAAAACTGATATATGAAACTGTTCACCTGGATATAGACTGAGTAAAGTTAAAATCCAATTCGAAACAATCCCACCAGAATCCCGGTAAACAGAATACGCCTTTCCAACAACAGCAGTTTGAACAAGCACAATGCATTGCGTTTGTAAACGCGGACGAAATTGGCTGCGTTTAGATTATAAAACAACGCATCTGTGGAGAAAAAGGCAGGCGGTTCGAAAGCAGTACAGAAAGAAGCAACAAGACGGAGGTAAAGAGTGTAAAATTTATTCAGACAGTTGTTAAATTCAGGTGTAACCAGCTACTACAACATTTTGAAAATATAATACATTTTGATGTATTGCATGTCCGAAAAATCCCATCTAAGCCCACACAGCATAGATGTGTTATGTATTAACTAGGCTAACAGTCAAGGTTTAACGAAATAAGATTTTAAGCATGAACTTATAGTCTAGCGATTTATGTGTAAGGCTGTTCACATTAGGGTTTTAAATTGTTTCCAAAACGGTTTGACAAAGATCAAGTTCCTAGTCAATGAATTCCCAAATTACTAGTAAATCTCAGTCTTTACTTCTCAAAACCTTACTCTGTTTTATCTCAAACAAAGCCAAGCGTTAAGGTAAACGGTTATAAGTTCTTAATACGCATGCTAATTGACTCATCTTAAACTTTTTTACAACCTTAATAACTAATTTACTTCCTTTGTCAAGGACAAACTATCGATATGGCATAATGTAGGGTTTGAATATAGGTAATCAAGAAGTGAGAATGTGAATAGCTGAATGCCTGTAGGATTATTTTATCACTTGAATCAAAGTATTTGCTAGGTGATCCTATAACAGCACAAGACCCATTTCTCAAAATCTAATCTACATAACTGACTACAAGAAACATCACCACCCAAGTAAGTATTGATTGAATGTCAACTCAAAAAGAACAGCTGTAGAAAAATATAAACATATAAGTACTTAATAAATATATCAGTGATAAAATTACAGTTTATTTAGTGTGCGAGCTTTCATGTAAGACTTTCGTGCATACGTTTAAGAAGACCTCTAACAAGTTTCTTCAAATGTTGGATATATGCTGCTTTAATCTTTGGTGATACTTTTAAATATCATTTTTACTATTAATAAGGAGGGACAAAGAAGGATTTATGCAAAGATTTAAGACATTTTGGACATGCGTTCTTTTTAGAAGACAGTAGATGAACTTCTTATGACCATAGCTTCTCGTTCAACACTCAAATACGAATGTTACATGCCCATTCTCTAGGTGTTCAGGAGTAAACTAATCAACAATGAAAATTTATATCCGTCATAGAAGGCTGATGTCTTCTTTCCTGACATTTTCCTATCTTCGAACTTTCTTGTAGCGCTAGTTGGCATACATGTAGTGAAAAACTAATGAACACATCAGTTTAGCCAATTCTGCTATAGAGGCTGCTGATATTACTCAGCTGCCTAGGTAAAAGCAGTTAAAATGGGGTATTACTTGTGATAAAGTGAATACAAACGTAGTGCCTATCACATTGACCTACAGATATGAACAAACAAGAGCTATCATCTATTTCACCTTAAGGCTTACTAAATACTCATGTCTAAAACTATCTATATAATGAAACTGAGTAACTTTCTTTTCTTATTCATATTACGTAAACTAGACAAATGGTTGCTGTCTAGAAGGAGTGAACTTGCTACGTATAATACAGCTAGACCTGAAACTCATCAGAAACTAAAATCACGACCAACTTACTAAAAGGATCATCAACAAGCTAAACGAAATCCACTGTTAAAACTTCAACGATGTACACTTCATTTGATGGTAAACATGGTTTGACAGTTTCCGTGTTTTCTAAAGAAGTTTCCACACGAAACTCCAATTAAAACCAAGAACACGTAATGCGAATAGGCGTTCTGGTAAAATCTACATGAAGGAATATGGATGTGGTTTTCATTTTATAACTTGTAAGTCGTCTCAATTTCTTTAAATGTAACAAAAATCTAACTAGATAAGTATTATATGATCTTTTATGCCTACACCTAAATTTTGTTGACGTAAAAAAGTTAGAGTAAAATTAGACGCTAGGTAAGGCTAATATATTAGTTGTCAACAAAAATGGCAACTGAATTTTAAAGTAAGAAACAAGAAAACCAAAGTTTTTGGTTTCATTCTAAGCGAGAGTCCAGACAGAAAACAGAAGAAAACCAAAACATGTGACCCAGATAGATTGAAGTAGAAAATAAGACGAACCTTGATTGATGACCTAAAATCAGTGCGTGTAGACAAAAGGATAGGATGCAGATTTGTCGGAAAATGGATTGCAACACAACTCAAAGTTGGTGAAGAAATAATATCTACCCTCAAACTAATTTTATTACTTCGGTGACCGAAATTCCCACCATTTTACTTGAGAAAATAAACTCAAATTAATGACGTAGTAATTAAAACTTCAATCAGTTATCGATGAAACCTAAAAATTAAACTAGCATACCTTGGTAGGACATGGGATTGTTCAGCACACTTTCTACGATAATACTTAGTTCTTCGTAAGAATTTCGTAAACTTTCTTGAGTGAAACCCTTCTTTTTGAGCAGAAAATCAGTTATTTTTGCCAGATGATGGGCAATAAATCCAAAAAGCGGCTGAAGATAAGAAAGACCGAGAAATATTCTCCGACAAATAAGTAAAACCATAATAATAACACACCAAAAATAAAACCCTCTGTATTATGTGGATGGTAGCTCAAATCCAACATTAGTAAATGTAAAACTGACTTACTACTTTAGGCATTGGTATTTAGCTGACTGATCTCAGATTCAAACCAAATAACGACCTAGTGGCCTATTATCTTGTAGCCTAACATATAGATCTCCAGGTGGTTAGTGAGTTGCACCACGTATTAACTGACTGACACTAGTTGTTGAATTTCATCGAGAACTGTATACATTAAACTGGATGATGAAGAATCACGCACTTGAGTAAACTGTATGCATCAGGTATAAAATGTGAGCGTAAGTTGCGAGGGATATACTACTTCCAGATGACTGTGTAAATTGATGGACATTTTGTAAAGGTGTGATGCGATATAACACGTTTTGTGCCATCGCCAAATCATAAAGTTTCTTCCTTAGCTTACTGCATTTACCGAAAAGCAAAGTAATTTACAGTCAAACTCTCAAAGAAAAGCTTTCTGTCTGTAAAAGCAAAACGTTTACTGAAATGCAGCAAAATAAAACCGTCAACCAAGGATGTTGATTGTGTGCCTGAATACATATACAAACCAAGGTATGTACCAACTACTTACTTCGTATATATAAGTTATGTTCATTACATGGTTTCTAATCTCATCAGGTATTTTGGGTGTAGCTGAAAGATATGTATATCCGGTTAGGGTTCAGAACTGTCTTACTGAACATATTGAGAGCCAGAAGGTATATATAAAGTGGTGTGAAGATTAAGTGACGAACCTCCATATAGTGAGTGAACTTGAAAAGCTAACGAAATCATGATAGTTTCTGTAAATTCGTAATCGCTTCGGAAATACTGTTACCAATAAATACCTTTTTGCTATACAAACTCAAACTGAGTTAGAATTCGGTTGCAGAAACAGTATGATCACTTTTCGCTAAGCTGTCGACGTATATCACGTTAAATCTGATTTATTCATGTGATGAAGGCCACTACGAGTGATACACGTTCATGAGAAAAGAGCCAGATGCATAGTAAACGGAAGTTATAATGAAGTTCAGAAGGAGATTAGTTAGTGTTATTATAAGAATTTCATGAATAAACATGCTTAAAAAATTTCAGGTGGGAAACCTTACCTAAAACAGGACAAAGAACAATGCCCGTTTAAAATTCGAGTAATTTAAATTGCTGTTCAGTATGCTTAGCGTTTTATTAGCAACTGCTTAACAATGTTCAGTGTGCAGAATCGTTGATTTACACTATAGAAGGTATAGAATTTCCAGATATCCCATGCTGATGAAAAAGACGCATAAGTTTTAGGAGGTAACCCCTTGAACTAGTTAAATACAGTTGTTCGATGACACTATACTACGAAAAAGTTACTGGTCAAAAACGTTTACAATTTTCGTCAACGTACTTTAGGAGCAAGAAATTAATTTTAGTGCTGTAGATTTGATGGTCGTAAGCAGTGCGAACTAATTTTCTTAGAAGACGTTTTTCAGATAGTTCTAACCTTCAACAATCATCTTCATTCATGAATAGTTCTACCAAGCTTCACACAGATACAACTAAACGAATTGAAAACAAGTGGACTGAGTAGATTGTGTTTGCATAAAAACAGGTTAGTTAGCTCATCAAGGGGCTGACAATGACACCTAGTTTAGTCCTGTAGCATATATTGCCTAAGTACCCGTGCTCAATGAACATCCCGGGCAGCAAAAATTTTCAGTTACATGGCTCAAAAAGTAGTGCCAGTAGTTTTACATTTTCCACTGTGAAGTTGAGGCTCATTAGACTACGCATTTAGCTTTCAACCATTGGGTCATGGGTTTGAACTCCGCTACGACAACCGAGGTTTGTGGAGCCAGGTAGTATCACCAGCTCTTACAATAGGTGTGGCTTATTGCCTACTGTAAAAGCGCCCACTTAGCTGCTGATTGCATTCCGATTCCCATTCTAACGTTTTCTAAGATACCCACGGTAGAAAGACTCATTACTTGTTGCAACCAAACTTTAGAGTTGTAGTAATTAAGCTTGAGTACCAGCGACGGTCACAGATTTTCGAATTGAGAATTCGTAGCATTCAGTCACCTTATAAACAGATAGTGATACGTATGTTTCCGGTCGGACACGAAAAATATGATAGCTTTTATATCCACTGCAAGGTTATAATCATGTAAGCAACTTACAAATCTTGATAGGACAACCAAACTTTTCTGTACAGTGTTTCGGGTAATTTCAGGATTAGGTTGTACATATGACTGAAAATGGAAAGTATGACACTTTAGGGAAGCATGCATGAGATCACAGTGGAAAAGTGCACCAGTGAGATTATTAAGGACATATTTGGATGAACGTGTAGAGGACAAAACATCTGAATTTTTAAAGTCACTACGGAGACAATATATAAACCTTCTTGTACGGAAATTTGAACAGGATGTACATCATATTTAATAAATGAAAGCTGATGACTAGAACAAAATCAGAATCATATTATTGCGAGTTGATTTGTGATACACTATTTTAAAATTCTGCTTATCTTGATGGAACACGCCGATACAGCCTGCGGAACACTGATTTTCCCGAAATTATCTGCATCAATGATAACCTATGAGTTACATGATTTGATAATGGTCATAAACCAGTCGGTTAACAGGGTGGTAGAAAAAGGCAGAGATATAGAAAGTTTCCGTGAAACGGCTACTTACTGATTGACTTCAAACATCCAATACATATCTAACAATCCACTACCTATTTATATGGTAGGTTACGAAATTAACCTTTTATTCAATTTAGAATACTAACCAGTCTCCTAAGTTGAAGGATATGTAACGGCATTTGGATCCATGACCCATTGATCCTATGCTTAAACTATGAAGTCTTAACATTCTCAGAGTATAAAAATGATGAAACGTTATAACCTTTTAATTCAATAGAAACTGATTGTGTCACCAATCCTGGTGAAGAAACGTTCATGACAAAGGACTAAGCTAAGAGAAGATAAAATTACTGTCATACTCATCCTGAGCCACAAATCTTGAATACAAATTACAGCCTTAGTTACTCCTTTATTGTGATGGATATATCAGTACACAGCATAGTGAAGGTGTGAATAGAAACCCGAAGTTTTGATGGGTAAATGATCCTTATTAGGTAGTCGCTCCTGCGTAACTGGAACTATTCAGTTCATTGACTGCAAATACGACAGTAAAAAGAAACGTCAAATTGTCAGTTTTACGCAGTAGACACAAAGGATCAGAAACCAATTGTTTCTAACTTCTGTGGGGTTTCTAAACCTGTTGAAAGCTTCTTTTTGATCAGGATAAGAAAGATGCTGAAGTGGTAACACTACCACTACGTAATAACACGAAAATCTTGTCAATAAACTCAACATTCGAGTCGAGGATCTTCATGTGTCTCGTCAACATGCGCTGAAGCACCTAATCCACATAAAACCAGCGATTTATCCGGGCGCTAGGATACAAAACTCCTGAATGACTAGTCGTAGGCAGTGACTGGGAATAATTTTTCTCTGAAACACTATAAAGCACAAAACATCAGTTCATACACTGCCTAGCATTGCGACTTGCCATCTAGTCACTTATCCTGACAGAATCTTAAGATGTGAACTCTTCAACCCTTGAAAACTAATTTTTGAAAAATACAGAAACTCACAGCCGAATTCGCCTGTCGGTAGCATGCAACACCAAAAACAGTCTCATCTTTCTTCTCACTAGAAGGTAAGGTGAAATAAGTACAATCTAAATTGTAAATAGAAGAATAATATATGCAGTGAACCTTTAGCGTAGTTGTGAGCGCCATCAGCAATCGCTAGAGAAGGAAGATGACGCCAAGAATGGGGAGTTGGGATTTCTCTTGAAATGTTTCATTGGCTATAGGAGGATAGATTAGTTCAACCTGATGAATCAAGTTATTCAAAGAAGTTTTCCACGTACAACTGATCCTTTTCGGTGATGAAATCCGACGAGAATTAAGTGTAACACACTACTAGAATTTTGCATATTCCCAAGGTCATATTTCAAAGTGAGCTCTGTGTATCTACCGGTAATTCGGTCGTTCAGTATTCGCGTGACAATTGTGGTGATGCAACAAACATTGGGATTAAGGATTTAGTGTGCTGACTGAAGGCTTTGAATTCTTGAAATTGTAATACCCCATCAATTAGCCCTGGTAAGGGAATGTAAATATGTGAAACGTTTGATGGGATTACGTTAAGTTCAATCTTCAGTGATTAGAATGATAGGCTACATAACCCTTGCAAACACTCAGTATTCTCATCCATACATAGCTCCACTTTCTTTCGACGTGTGCCTACTATAGCACTTGATATGGTTTGTCGGAGAATCTAGTTCGTCCCTCATCATTTTATGACGAGGATAAATCTAAAGTATCACAGTTGAAACTTCCTGCATTGTTCCCAGAAATTTTCGGTCTGGTAAAGAGAACAGAGATATTGCCCATCAACCCGTAAGGCCATCGACAACCGAAAGGAATGTTCAGACCCAACTGTCCATTCTGTTATATAAGGACTGGGTGATATTATAAAGCTTTGTATGCATTCTACATAAGATAAATTAGGTATTGAAACCATCTTATGAGAAGACAGAGACTGTCTTCAGCATTTGGATGTACAAGCACTATACATTACGAACAGCATAATCGCCCATGAACCTGTTGAGTAACTCATATGAAACTTAGAAAAACCGTTCTAGGCAATGGAATTTCAATTAAAAAGACAATAAGGGCAAAACGAAAAAAGGAGGAGAGATGAAGGTCAGACCACCACTATAGTGTGAGGGTTGGAGTGAACACTACTAGGGTAAGCTTAATGTAGGCGCGAAACTTTTAGCACATGGAGTGGGTTTCAATTTATGGAGTTCCGAGATCTTGATGACCTGATCGTTCACCCTTGACCGCATCTGCAAAGTGCAGTAAAGGCCACCAACCCTATGTGTTTTGATTTGTTCTCGTAATGTATTCAAAAACATTGACCACTCATTTCGTTTAACTTCATTCAATTTGCTTGCGCAACCATATTTAACCACTCGTTTCGATTAGTGTTACAACTGTATTTTGTTTTGGATAGAAGCTGCAGTAGCCGTTAAGACTGAAGGTTTGTAATCAAGTTTTGTACATATAATTTGTCGCGAAGGACAATTTTCAAAAGGTTATCCTAATGTTTGAATATACATTCGCTTTTTGGCAGCCAACTGTTTTGGACTCGGCCGGTTCTCGCTTCGGGTTTTGGGAACTCCGAAAATTCGTACCTTCGTTACGCGCTGCTCAGGGGATTTGACGTAACACATAAGGGCTAAACCTCGAGGCCACAGCATCAAGAATTTTTTCACTGCAGGCAAGCTGTGGCGTGCAGATGTCGTCAAATGAAGGTGAATAATCATTCGAAATGATGCAGTGTCTACCAGTGAAACAAATCAATACCTTTTTTCCAGTCTTCTTAGTTTCACTTGTGTCTCTTCCGCTCGTTGGGCGATGCGGTCTGGACCTGAAAATCAACGAAAACACTGGCCTGCTTTATCTTCCCTGACTGGGAGATGCAACAGCTAGATTGGAAACTTTTGTGAGCCAACGGACTGATCAACAGCAGCACTTTGAAGAAACACTGTCTTGCCACCGCTTCATATAAAATCGAAAGTAATGGCTTTTAATAGGGCGAGTAGTTTGATAGTTGGAAAAACAGTTTGTGCCCTTTCGGAGATTCCTTAGATGAATTTACCAATTGGTAGATGAGCGATCCAGTGTTAAAAAGTGCCAGTTGTTGAGTGGTAGACTCCTTCGATGGGTAACTATTTCCTACTAAATTTTGCTCCTTACTTCTGCAGCAAGCAGCCTACTTCTTCAACTGATACTTCTTCTGCTCAGCATTCTACTTCCGTCATCCTGCGAGTCCTACAGAAGGTAAGCCGCAACTCCTCAAAAATAAACGTAGTGAACTTCGCTATTCGGTGCGTAGCTGTAGCCCCCTACCTCTCCGAGCAGAAATAAATGATAAACCAACTGCTGTTCTATCTCGTACACTTGCAGGGATGCATCCTAAGTTCTCCAGTCGCTGATCAAACCCAAGGCGATACGAACCATCAGTGAACTCTATAGACCTGGTGTAACGTAAAATTGATCCGAAAATCCTTCCCGATCACCCTATTTGATTGTATTGACGTTTATTTTAATATTTTTACCCTTGTTATGGAGGGTGTATCTTTGACCTTAGCCGGTGTAATGTTTTTTGGTAGTTTGACTGTCTTCTTTTGACTCCTTACTAAGTGTTTGGTTGATGCGTATCATGAATGTTTCACTTTCATATTATGTGACGCTGGACTGTTGACAAGGTGATGTTGTTTTACTGCGCCCGACATTTTGTTTTGGTTCAACTTACGGTTGTGCTGTGATTTGACTGTCTACTGGGAACGTTTGTTCGTTGATTTGATTCTGGTAGACAGAGTTTTGATCCCTTTTGCCGGGAATATTCTCATTGACTGTCAGGTACCTAATAGTTGTATTTGTTTAACCAGTTTTTACCGTGTAGTACGTATTTGCACCCGAGAACGTTTTGGACTGTATAGTTACCCAACGGCACTGTTGAAGTATTCCTGTAATTTTGATATAACTTATTGTTGCTTTGATAGCACCTCGGATTTTGTTACGAATCTACCATTGAATTACTACAAACCGTGTTTTGATATTTTGATCCAACCTTTGACTGTGCGTCACTCGCGGAAGTTAGGAAGCTATGCAGTAGAACGCAGGAACTAGTCAGATTCACGTCAGTTGGCACCGCCTAGTTATTTCCCGCGTTCAGGTCAAGATTATTGGATTCTGGCCCCTACACCTGGTCTTCTTCGCTTATCGTTTCTCCTATTTTTGAACTCCATCTGCATTTCTGAGTTTCGCAAAAGTAACCGGCATTTAGACTTAGCCGTATCCTTTCCCAAGTGACTATGCCTGATTCATCGACTGCCTTAAGAGTTATAATTATTCACCTTGCTTAAAAAAGCTATTTGGAAACCGTTCTACGCATGGTCTCACTTAATAACAATAATATTCATTACTGAATATGCAGGGATAAATATTGTTATTATTTTGTAAGACTAGGTGCAGATCATAATCCTCATTAAGTGCCTTTATCAAACTTTTCCGGCCATTTCTTGCTGTATTCTGTCGTCTTTCATCTCCCGTCTTCTGCAGCAGGCACAGAAGTAAATATTTTATTCTAGAAGATCATAGGGGTTAGTGTTTTCATCCAATTAGGGATTTCTTTACTCAAAAACTACCACCCATGGTAGCGGTACAATAATATGTTTACCAGTGATTGTACATTCAACGAACCTTCTATAGGGTCAAACCGTTAGCAGTGTGCTGTTTGCAAGCTCATTACCCGAAAAAATATTGATATCTTTCAAGTTCTGCAGTCTTTGTGCCCATACGAAGGTCTTAGCACCACTTGCGACCACTTGCCCTTTTGTAACGCGGTAGCTAACATTGCACACTAAATTGTGGATTGCTCCTTTTCATTTTACACTCATATTTGCATGTTGTCTCAAAAGTGCGACTTTTAGAATTCCCAATGGCTACAAAGTTTGACCGGGCTATCACCGTGTTATATATCTTCCTGCTTTGAGCCTGTAAGATAAAATTATCCAGACAACTTTTGAACAGCTATATGGTGTCCTCGTCATCGTTTCTGCCTGCGTTCAAAGTGAATTATTTCAGACAAGGCATGTAGCGGTTCTGTTAAATTCCTTTCTTTGTGGAAGTACGGATGAAAAAGAGGCTAGAAGGATAGAGTTAGACTTCTGCCGGATGGGTTCTAGAATCTTCGGCATAAAGTTTCTGTGTGCGAGGATCCTTCATACATCACAATCATTCTCGCGATAATATATTTTCAGGCATATCTATGAAGCAGCGGCTAGCTTAAGTGAAACCACGTCCTCACTTGTTCTTAGCCGCAATCCACTGCAATAAACAGTATTTTTGAAGTCACAGGTTACTGAAGTTTCTCAAATTCACCTCTCCTGGCAATACACTTTGACCGAATGTCCAAGATTGGCGGCGCGTTTTACGCCATCCAAATGCAATAAATCAAAATAATTAACAACGAACATCTATATCGTCCGGTTGTTGAAGTAATTATTCATCGAATCTTCATCACTTCAAATGCCTCTCTGCATGTTTATCACGAGCAGTGGATTTATTCGCCAGTCACTCATGTCTGTTACTTCGAGACTAATGATTACTATTGCCTCCTTACCGTTTCTTCATCGGCATCTTCGCCTCCACTATCAGCATTTATCTGGAAACCGTCTCCAAAATTACGATTGGTAAACATTCCACCAGTATCGTCATCGGATCAACTTCTCATGTAATATTAGTTTCTGCTGTGGGCTATCCGGGCTTTGGAGTCCAGAATCGTCACCTTTCAGACCCATATTTTCGGTGTTAAAATTCCCGTTGGTCGCCAAAAATCAGCTGGATAAAAGTGTACACCTAACGAGGTCTTAGTGATTGAAGGTGTTCGAAGAAGTTGGGATTTGAAAGAGTCAGATCGGTATCCATGACTAGTTGCTTCCTCCGCATTCCGACACTGAAGGCGGAAATTTTCCTCACACTCACAAGCCTTCCGGACTGAGCAGACTCACAGACCCTCGACAGTGGTCGGTTTCCATCAAAAGTTCTCCATAAACTTGCCTAAAAGAGAAACAAGGTATCATGTGGTGACGGAAACTTCCCACAACCGCTCTGTGTGATTTTTGTGTCAAAAGTATCTGTATGTATTACCTCCGGTAATT